TAGAATAGAATAGAATAGAATAGAATAGAATAGAATAGAATAGAATAAATAGAATAGAATAGAATAGAATAGAATAGAATAGAATAGAATAGAATAGAATTCTTTATTGGCCAAGTGTGATTGGACACACAAGGAATTTGTCTTGATGCATATACTCTCAGTGTACATAAAAAGAAAAGATACATTCATCAAGAATCATAAGGTACAACACTTAATGATAGTCATAGAGTACAAATAAGTTCTGTTTGTTGTGACTGATCGTGATCAGAAGAACTGCAATAAACCTTAACTTCACACATCTTTATTTGTGAGTAACATGGTTTGTTGTAAAAAGTATCCAGTACCCAACAGAAGCTGACACAATCAAATCATACTAGGAAACAATCAGTATAAAGAAGGTGGTATATAATTGCAAGATCACATAAATGTTGAATCCTTCCATTGCAATCCTAAACAAATGATGCTTCCCAATCAAAATGCACACCACATAGGAAGATAATTCGACTGAAAAAAATAATGGGGGGTGGGGGTGGAATTCACCAACCTTGCTTCCCTTGGGTCCTGTAGGTCCACGTTCCCCAAGAATTCCAGAGAGGCTCCCTTCTACTGTTAAATCTACCTGAAAGCACATAAATATGTCAGTCTTGTCATCAGTTTGACAGCCTCTGCCTCTCTCTCATACAAACTTCTATAGATTCCTGTTTGTGACCACAATATTATCAACAAAAGTCACATTCTCAACACAGCTACAGAACCTCTCAGATTTAATGACATTTGAACTCTCCCACAGAAAGCGCATGCTTATCATAAACCAAGGGCTTCACATACATATACAGTAACTAAAAACTTTAAAGTGTTTTTTAAAAACTTCCAGTGTTGGAGCATTCACAAATTCTGTTGTTCCACTGATGTTTTGTTCTAATTGCCAGGAAATTTTCTCTTAGTTCTAAGTTGCTTCTCTCCTTCATTAGTTTCCACCCATGGCTTCTTGTCCTGCCCTCAGGTGCTTTGGAGAAGAGCTTGACTCCCTCTTTCTTGTGGCAGCCCCTGAGATATCAGAACACTGCTATCATGTCTTATATTACAAAATATAAGGATTGGAAAATATAGTAGGTCATGTAGTCTTATTCTTAAAGATCAAAAAATTAACTTCTTAATCTTTTGTAATTTGGTAGCCAACTTATTTTAAATCCAACAGACCTTGGGTCCTGGTGGGCCTGGAGGACCTGGTGGACCATCTCTACCCTGTGGACAAGAAACACCAGATAAAAAACAACAAAATGCACCATTGCTAGAGGTCACTTCTCTTTTGCCTCTCCAAAGGTTGCAGCTGCAAACTTTCTGTGTTGATTTTAAAGAGAAAAGATCAGAGATCATGAGTTCTTTTTCAAACTAACTACTTACAAAAAACTGTAACAGAATCTAGGCACCTTAAAAAAACAACAGAAAAGATGCAAGGCAAGTAGTTGCTATATCAATGGATTTTAGATTAGAAAAGCAATGGTAGGAGGATCTTCACAGCTTCCAATTTCCTCAAAGAAACAGTGCTTTGAGCAGGGCTCTAAATGTCAATTTATATGTATATGTCAATTTGGACATATACACACATGTGTGGGAAGACATATGGAGGGGACTGTGATTACTTGAAATTTAACTATAAACACCTGTGTGGGAATCTGTGTGAAAACTAAATGGGGGGTAATACAGAGCAGACACATAGCAGACCTACAAACATATATGCAATTCCTTTTCCCACTGATTGCTCACTCAATTTTTTAAAAAACTTGTTGGTATCACATGAACTTTTAAATGAAGTATCTCTGCCTAGAACATGATGTCTGGAACACTGGGAGCAACATGATCTAAAGCAGGAATAGAATGTTCCAAAGTTCTCTACACTGTTCCATTTCAAGAAAGTTTAAGTTTGCATATCTAAAGAGATCACTAGAAAACACAATTTCATGGTTTAACTGCAGGTAACAATGGTGGATGCAACACCCATTAATCAAGGTTCAAGAGTGAGTGAATGAAGGTATGCACCAAGTTGCCAGCACAAAGAGCCAGGCAAACATCGTGCGTGCATTTGCATGTGGAGTTGCCAGCATTGATAGCAACAGACAGGAGATCACTGTGTGTGTATATTTATTCATAAAGTTCTTCTGAAGATGAAAGGGGAGACGTGAAGAATGACTCAGGTCAATGAAACACAGAAAATAATATTCTACATAATTAACCCTGAGCTGCAGCTGGTCAGTCTAGTCAAGAGCACAGGGTAGAAGTAAGATGCAAAACTGCTTCCAGGGGAACTTTGGTGGGGGTTGATATAAGTACTCTCTTGGCCATGTGTATGTACTTGTAGAGCTTTAATTCCAGCTGCTGGAATTAGCTATAAGGCTGGTAACCGTGACAGATCCTAGAAGGACTTACTCTCAAACCACCATTTCTGCATAGGCTTTCTATTGAGCCAGGGGGACCTGCTATGCAGCCTGGCATTCATATCTTTGGGTGGGATTGATAGATTTCCCATAAAAGCAGAAGATGGCCCTGTCTGTGCAATCCCAGGACTTAGCAAAGTACAAAGCACGCAAACATCCCTGGCATCTTACTTTGCTTGAACCTCCTACTAGGCATTAGATAGGAGAATCTAAAAATATCATAGGAGAAGACAATAGCAAACCAATTTTATACCATTGCCAAAACAATTACTTGGGCCTATAAAGTCACATGGAGCTGAGCTTTACCCCTACTCCAAAAGGACTTTTTACTCCTACTCACGTGTTCTCCTTTTGCACCTTGATCACCTCTGTCGCCCTGAAATATGAAAATAACATTTTAAAGAGAGATAATCAATATAGTCGCATGACTTCTAACATCTTCTAATCTCAGTTTAAGTTTAGAAATGTAAAATGAATTCTTTTTTGGGGGAAAAAATCATGAGGTTATTGTATGATTTTGTTTCTCCACTGTAGTGGGGAACTGTTAGAGCAGAGGTCTCCAAACTTGGCAACTTTAAGACTCGTGGATTTCAACTCCCAGAATTCTCCAGCCAGCTATGTATTAGAGGCACTTTAAATGGTTTTACTGTTATTATGTATACTGTTTTGTTTTTGTCAGTTGCAGAACTTTATAGTGACATAAATAAATACATGCAGGTTCTGCAATGAATAAATAAATATTCAGACATGTTTTATAATAAACAATCCCATTTAAGAGGTTCCCTCTAAAGCAGGGGTTCTCAAACGTGGCAGCTTTAAGACTTGTGGACTTCAATTCCCAGAATTCTCCAGCCAGCTATGCTGGGAATTGAAGCCCACAAGTCTTAAAGCTGCCACATGTGGGAACCCCTGCTCTAAAGCCAAGCTTGTCAAAATGTATAAAATAAAAAAAGCATACATTCACACAAAGAATAAGTCAAGACTATTTCACTGCTCCTGTTGATTTTTTTTTTAGCTTTTCAGTCAGGGCTCATACTTCTGCTTACTTTCTCTCCAGTCCTCCCTGCTTCTCCAAGTTCTCCTGCCCGGCCTGGCAGCCCTGGAATTCCAGGTTTCCCGGGCTCCCCTGGTTGGCCAGGGGTTCCTCTTGGCCCCGGCTCTCCAATGGCATGTCCTGGTGGTCCTTGTGGTCCTTCATTCCCTTTATCTCCTTTTGCTCCTCTTTCCCCAGGAAAGCCTGTGAGACCCTACAAGGAATAGTCAGGCTTTTACTTAGGCAGATTCTGGAATAGAAAGCTTGTTAGGCAGAAATTCAAGGACATAGCTTTTTTTTTTTTAAAGGCTGCTTTATTGCAGATCCTGGAAACTTGTCTACAAAATCAGCAGCTGGTAATTGAAGGCTCAAACTATATGTATTAAAATCTTCAAATCATTCTTGACCTATGAGTGAGAAGCAGCTGAAGGCCATTCATTTTGAAAACTGAAAGTACTATGAATTATTTCCTTACCAGGTAAATGTTGGCTATATTTTCTATTTACCAAAGGGTGATTAACAAGAAATTGCAAAAAAAATCTTATTCAGAGATAAAAGGGAAAGTATTTAGTTATTATGTGCAGCAACATTTACATCCTCCCCCCCCTGCAATAAAAAGGGTTAAGCAGCATCTATGGGAAACTAGCTGCTGGGATGCAACAAATACTAAAAGTTTGATTTTCCTATTTCTTAACATTTACCCAAGCCATGGAAACTTTCAGGCACACCCATCTTTGTGAGAAAACTTTGCTGCCTTCCACAGAAGCTGAGTTACAACTTCACAGAAGTCACCCAGGTCTGCTGTACTGCAACTTACTATTTTATATTTTATTCTTCAAACATTGCAATTCATATCTGAGAGCCTCAATTGAAAACTGGCCTTTTATCACAGAATTTAGACATTTAGGAAAGTAGTGGATTGGTTGCCTGGGGTCTCTGCCCCACTTTTAATGAACTTTTTCTAAATAATACTATAGGAATACTAATATATAAGCATTAATCAATGTTGAATCCATTCGTCTACATCATCACTATGGTATTTGGGTTCAGGACACAGTATTCAAGAAAATATTATGTATAGAGTTTAGAGTTTTGTTTATAGGGGGCGTGCATAAGCGCACCAACGTGCCTACCGTCCCTGTCCTATTGTTTCTCTTATTCTTTTATTTTTCTTATATGTACCCATTTCATGTATTCACAACTATGTATACACTTATACTTATTATCTTGTAAACAATTGGCAAATAAAATAAATAAAATAAAATAAATAAAAATATATATGTGTGAAGAACTTTTCCAAACTAGACTAAAAAGAACTACAAAGTATACACTTAATACTTATGTATTAAAAACTCAAACTTACCTCCTTCCCTGGTGGCCCTCTGTCTCCTGGCTCTCCTCTCTCACCCTTCAGTCCTCTCCGGCGGTCAGGGACAGGTAGTAGCTGATCTGAGCTGCCGTCATAAGCACCAGTGATCTCTCGAAGTAGGGAAATCTATGAGGAAGTAAAGAAGAATCACTGAACACAATCTAAAATGCAAACATTTATAAACTAACGTTCCTTGAACTTATTTAAAAATGAGAGAGAATGATGGCTCCAACTCAATTCGATGTCATTATGGCACTGAGGGAATTTAGCTCAGACATAAAGACTCTCATACTTTACTTTAAACTCTATATATGTTATGTTACTTTGGCTATCAGAATTCCAAAACAACTTGTTCAAGTGGTCATTTATACATATATATTAGGCTGGAAACAAATCTCTTTCTAGATGTTCACTTACAGAGCCAGCTTGGAGTTCTGAGGGAGGGACAGTGATATGTACAGTACAGAAATAAGATGGAGGATGTAAACTGAATTCCTACCTTAATACCATGTGCTTCTAGGGCACGTTCAACATTCTAGACAAACAGAAATGGGGATCCATGAGCAAAAAATAAAATTAAATTAAAATAGACCATCGGAAATAAACATCAAACATAATGGAATCAGATGACAATTGCCTTATGTAGGCTAGGATCTTTCCTTGTACTCAGTCCAAATTTAAGAGATCATTTTAATGTCATGCCCATGTTCTTGAGAAATAACACTCCTGATTAGCAAACTCTGATAGCTCTGTTACTCCAACAACTTTTTATTCAACAATTTACCTGTCTTATAAATCCCTTAAATATTTTAATAAAATCCTGACCAAACATTCAGTAGTAGGAATATTTTTATCCATGATCCAAGCCATGTTCCCAGAATAAAATTATTCATTCTTCTCAGTTTAAATTTTCACAGGGAAAGCTGGTCTATCACTGTAATAAAATTGATTGATTAATAAACTTTTACAGGAGTAAATTTTCCTTCCTAGGCTTTCAAGATGAAAAATTGAAATAATACGTTTGCTCACTCACTGATGCTGTCCCGGGTTCACCACGTGGCCCAGGTTCACCATTTCTCCCCTGAAGGAAAGTTAAAATAAAAAATTAGAATGAAAATAGTCCAAATGACAGGGTGTACATCTGGATTTTGCCATAGACTATACACTTCAGAAGCAGAACCTTGGCAATCAGAGTTAAAGGACAGTAGAAAGGCAGATGTTTTCTCAGATTAGAAACAGAGATCAGAGATCCAAGAGGCAAGGACACCATCCACAGTGTTTTAGAAAATCTTCTACAGTATCTTGTCAGTCCTTTTTATTGATGGCAGGGGTGAAGTAAATCATTTGACTAATTTCTTATGGAAAGTTTCAGTATGCTATTACTGTTACAGCAATTTCCAAATTAATCATTGGGTTACACTCCAGAATTGTTGTCTTCCAAGGTCTTTTTCATCATAGTGATAAAACAGATCAGAAACCAACCACTGGAATGCACAAATGCAGAGATCTCTGGCATACTGTATGAATTACTAATATATGGATTGCTATGTTGGATGATAACTCGGGGAGCTTTCCAAATGCAGGGTACACCTGGCATAAACAGTGGATGATTCATATCAGTGGCCATTGGTCTGCTAATAATTGTGCCACACAATATTACCTGATTCTACTGTGCTTTAGGTTCTATCAAACCTCACTGAAAATCTCATTATTAAATAATTAAAAGAAAGGAGAGATGGGCTCAGTAAAAGTCATATTCATAGTTAATAAAATGGGATTCCTATTAGACCAAATTTTGTGTCATGAAATCCTCCATAATGAGTTTCAAAGCTCTAGAAATAATTGATTTTGAATTGTTAAATTCCTGGGGAGAAATGCCTACCTGCTCTCCTTTGAATCCAGGTTCTCCTCTGTCTCCCTGAAACAGAATAGGATGAGGAGTCACTGAGCTGACAATTACAAAGAAATTCAGTTCTGCTCTTGAAGATATTGAAGATTGAGGAAGACCTCCCAAGATGTGAAAGGTATAGATCAATATATCTGCTTAATGTGGTTGCTAAAATATTCAAGTTTTTCAGGAATTCACAAAAAGTACCATATACTGTACATTCTTTAATGAGTCCATCCAGGCATAAGACAATCCTCAAATTTTTAACCAAAATTCCATGGAAAAATGTCCCACCCATGGATAAATCAACCCTCAAGGTGTTTTTGTCAATATATTCTGAAAAAATTCATTTATTTTAATATTTTGCATCAATAAATAATCTTTTCAAGAACAGATTTCATTTAAAAATTTCACAATTGGCTTACTCACAGTAGCATGTTTTTCATGATATTTTGTTTTGGCTTATCCATGAGTATATACAGGTGCTTTTAAAAAGTATTCCTTTTTGTATATCATTATGAATAAGCGGAACCCTATTTGGGGGGTTATTCTGAGACCTAAAATTCTCAGTTTATCTGCAAGTATGGTAATACCATCTATAATTCAATCTAGATTTATAAAAAATAGATACATATTAGGGTTGGAAATGTGGTCCAATCTGCAAGATGCTTGCATTGATACTTCTATATATTTTGATCTGGTTACTAATTTGCATTTATGGTGATATTATTGTTTTATGTTTTTATCTGTTATTTGCTGAGATAAAGATGAACAGTCTTATGAACTGAAATAAATAATAAGCAACTATCAATATTTATTTTGTAATTTCTATTGTAGGTATTGCCACAAAAAATTGAAGTAAATTGTTTTAATTTTGTTGAATGTTAAACAGATTTTGGCATAGTCCAGACTGAATTTATGAGGTGCACTTTGGTTTTTGTTTTGTTTTTTACAATTCTACTGATGTGATACAATGTGTAGTAGATTTTTGCTTACCTTGGGGCCTGATATTCCAGGGAGGCCGGGCAAGCTCTGAAAATAGCAAAATGTATTATTAGAGAACTAGAAAGAGATACTTATCCTATTGAGACCAACCAACATGTTTGCTAAATAGCCACTAAGCAGGAATAGAAAACTCAAGATAATAACAAACCACATGAGCAATACCAGGAACACTTTAAATAAACATTCTGTATGAGCATTTCAAAGAAATCCTTTGGCAAAACCAAAGCAAAATTCACCAAGAATTGTTTCAAACTGATTTCTGGAAATCTAAATTCTCCCTGTTTCATGCAATGCACATTTATTTACTATTAATTCTCACAAAAATTATTTCATTAATTACAAATGGTTCTCTTGAAAAGATAATGAGATTTTGATTGATTCCCATGAGATCTAATGATATATATTTTTTTGGGAGGGGCATATAATTATTTTCATACCAAGTTCACAGGAACTGATCATGAAGAAAAGGGATGGGATTACAATCTATTTAAACTGCATCATATTAACTACAAATTTGATAAATTATATTGCTGTAAAATATATTTGTATTCATTATCATCTTCATTGGCAATGCCCAATTAATTAGTCTGATTGAAAGTTTTTGAAAATATTGGGGAGAACTTTGATCAAAGATCTAACTATTTTTTATTCCAAATCCAGCTTGTTGGCTTATTGCCACTTTTTCCTAATAAATAAATATTGATACAATATAAGCATTCATCCATTTCCTGTTCTTGTGTGATAAGCTTGCTGTTGCAGAACACTTCAAAGGTAACTTCTTCTAGCGGATTAGTGATATTAACAATGTAGAAAATTGCTGTGCTTAAAAAAATCTAATTCAGCAATAAAAAGGTTTGAAAAGCTCTAAATGAAAAAATAGGTTTATTCAATATACTAATTACTGATTATATGAGCAATATTTTAATACACTGTCCTTCACTATATAAATATGATTCTAAACATAAATGTTAAAATGCATACTTAAAAGGTTTATGTTTTTCTTTGCTTATATATGTGTGCATGTAGATGCAAATTATTCTGCTCCAAAGTCTTTTTTTACTTTCTGTTGCTTCAACTTCTCTCACTGGCTTTTCAATTTCAGTTCTGTGTTTTTCTTTCCTTTTTGCATATTCATGCACACACTCCCCATAATGAATTTCAGCCTTTATCCATCTTCAAACTAGTTTTTGCTGAGGCTTAATGTTCATAATCTATTGTAATTTATATTTTCCTATTGTAGATTCTGCAGGAGGAGGAAATTACCTGGCCTGGTGGACCAACTTGTCCAGGCATGCCGGGAACACCTGATGGTCCTGGAGGCCCTGGAGACCCACTTGTTCCTCTCTCTCCTTTAACACCCTCAGGACCCTGTCAAAAAAAAAGAGAGACAAATACAGTTAGATATCGTGTGTAGGGAGCTTTCCTGTGGCCTTTTTAAAACTGGCAACAGCTTTGCAGAATCTGAGCCAAGGATCTTATCCAACCTTGTTTTCTCCTTTTAACAGGAGACATCAAGGACTTCGTTGTAAATTCTTCTCTGCAGAGAATTTGTGGGCTCTAATAACTTGCTAGAGGTCTCCCCACACCCATGTTTCTGAATATTACCCGTTTTTCTTTTCTTGGTAGCCTATATACTTATGACTTTATAAAGCCCTATACCTTAAATCTAATTCTCTTTTTCTAAAATGTTTGCGTGAAAGAACAATTTATAGACTAGGCAAGTTGACCAGAGATTTTTTTAGCCTAAACTTCACCCATGTGTCAATTCTCACAGATTGGGAAGAAGCAATCTTCCCAATCTCTTCCTAAATCTCTCCCAACTTACAGGAGAATTATATCAGAATCTAGCACGGTTCTCTGCATGCATAGCATTTTCTGTGCGCACAAACCTCCATGTTTTACTGTGAAACAGTATGTATGTATGTATGTATGTATGTATACATATACATATATATATGTTTTCTTAAGTTTTCGTGGTTATCTATATGTATGGTATTCAGCTTTGTTCGGGTATTTTCCCATGTCATTATAGTTATGCTTTTAAAGTTGTAGCAACGTTTCGGCAGAATCTCATCTGCCATCATCAGTGTATAGTGATGTATAGTGCTCGTCTGTGAGTCAGGCTTTCACAGCCATTTCTGTTTTAAATTTGGTGCTAGCCTACTGCTGTGTTAGAATGGTTTTTTCTTCATCCTGATTGGTTGGGAGTCTTGTTCTGTGTTTATTGGTCTTGGAGTTTGCTGTGTTCTGCTTGATTGGTGTTTCTAATATCTTCTGTCTGTTTTGTAGCATTTTTTTGTCTTGATTGGCTGGCAACATTGTGTTTCCTGTATTGGAGGCTTTTAGTGCAGCTTGGCTTCGAGTAAACGGATGGCTATCATTTATTAGGAAGCTAGGTTTCATCTGGGTGCCTGGTTGGGGTGTGTTTGAGCTGGAGGTATCGGGGCGGGGGGGTGTCTGTTTGTGCCCAGGTGTTTGCTTGGCTTGTGGTGTGGAGATTTTTTTGTTTGTGAGTGCAGGCTTCCAGATAATTGACAGTCTGGTGGAGTCATCTCTTCTATTCATGCTTTCAGGTCTTTTTTTCAATCTCTATGGCTTCTCTGATAATTCTGTAGCTGGGGTTTTCTATAGTGGCTAGGGTTTTGGTGCCATTGAAGTTGATGCTATGACCTGTGGCTTTCATGTGTTGGACAAATGAGGAAGTGTGTTCCAGCTTTTTTACTGCCTTTTTGTGTTCATCCAGGTGAGTACTTATTCTTCTATTGGTCGGTCCGATGTATGTGGCCGGGCATGATGCACAGGGGACTTCGTATATGCCTTGGTTTTCCAGGTCAATTTTATCTTTGGGGTTTCTTAGGATGGCTGCTATATTTCTGTCTGTTTTGAAGGCAGTCTTGATATGATGCCTGTGTAGTATCTTACTGATTTTGTCTGTAGTACCTCTTATGTAGGGCAGCTGTACACACACACACACACACACACACACACACACACACAATAATGGCAAAAACAAACTTGTGAAGAAAACTCATTATTATGGAAAAGTACTTACTTCTTTGCCAGGTGTCCCAGATTCGCCTTTCTCTCCCTAAACACATAAAAAAAACCCAGAATGGTATTTGTATGCATCCTGGCATGTTCTTATAGATAAATAGCAAAGTTTTCTTGGATCCTAAAACATCCATCACATTGAATTTTACCACCATTCAAGGATAGTCACCTAACCCTATAGGACATGGGTGTCAAACTCACCACATTCAACATCATCATGTGATATAATGTGACTTTTTTCCCCTTTGCTAAACCGGGGGTGGCCAGCACGTGATGCATCCAGCCCACGGGCCATGAGTTTGACACCCCTGCTATAGGGGAACTATGGCCTTAAAGGAATATGAGAGGACTTTTCTGTTACACTCCTCTAATGAGATGGAAATCAATAAAATGGACTACTTTCTGGATACTGCTGAGAGCCAAAATGGTTTAACGTAGATGTTGCTGAGCGAATTCCTTAATGTTTCATTGCCTAATAGAACACTTCCTAATGACTCTTGTCTTCTAATGACCACTTATGAAGAAATCATCTACAATGATCTGCTATTCAACTTAAGCTGTGACAGAGAGCAAAATTAGGTCTCTCTTAGGTTTGCTGGTTCTTGGCTGGCAAAAGAATTATTCTCCTATGTCTCTAGACTGGTACCTAAGCTAATTTCTTGGCCTGCTCAACACTTACAAAAATATTTATTTATTTTTAGGAAAGGGCAACAAAGACTGAATATGCCAAGTGTAAAATGTTGGCTCAATGTTGGAAGGAAAATGAAGTGAGACAGGGAATGAAATTGAGACTGGCATTTCTAAAGAATATTCCTATTTTCTTTTTGGGTGGCGGTGGAATTAAGAACAGTTTTCCCAGAGAAAGGCTTATTTGGATTGGTATATTGCTCTTGGAAAAACAAGAAATATAGATGGTGCCTCTGATGGCATTTTCTAAATTTAAACATAGCCCAAATCTATTAGTAAAATAGGGAAGCGATCAGGGACCTTTCTTAAGGAATTTGGTTCTAATCTCTAGTTAAGAGATAGAAGTTTGGCTGAAATACTGGAAGTATGTAAGAAGAAATACCTTTCTCCCATCTTCTCCCGAGATCCCATCTTCTCCCTGGAAAGTAAACATGTTATTCACATTTGTATTTCAGATTAGTTTAGAAGCATATGCTGTGATACTCCTTACTATTAGAAGAATGAAAGAAAATAGCACATTTTTAATAATTCCCTTTATTCCCTTTGTTCCCACCCCAATACAGGCCTTGCCAGTCAGACCTGAAGCCCCACTTCTAGCAGGTCAGAGGAATCAGATCCCAAACTCACATTCCTCCCATTCAGCCCAGGTTTGCCATCTTCACCAGATTTGCCCTGGAAAAGAAATATAGGAAATCAGCCAGCTAAGAGAGCTTTCACCAGCTTGACAGCAACAAGCCTGTAGAATTGCACAGGGAGCAAGGAACACACAGGAGGGATGAATCCATACAGAATATATGACTTTGTTGCAACCAAGGGTTAGTGAAGTAAACTCAAGTGAAGAGAAATTCAGTTAGATTCTTGTTGACAAGTCAGCTTTATCAGGTTCTGTCTTTCTGCAAAACTCTCACCCAGCAGCTGTTCCATGGGACCACAAAACAGAAAACAGATCTTACTAATCTGGTTGACAGTGCAGCCATTTTGGACTTTTCTTTCTCTACAACTTTGTTGAATTCTAGATGACAAGACAACTTTCCATGTGGCTAATTACCCACAGACATTATAAAATCTATATAGTATTAATACCTTAACTGGTGCAGAGTTTTTATTTTTCTTCTTCCTTATCCCACATTTTCTTTGTGTGTGTGTGTGTGTGTGTGTGTGTGTGTGTGTGTGTGTGTGTTGCATCCTTTTAAATTGTAAGCCTAAATTGGTAGACGGGAATTCAATTGCCAAAATCATCACATGAATGCAGCATTGAATACAATTTAATTATTAATCACTTTAGCCCAAGATTACTCTCTATTAACTAATCTTGCTACATTTGTCAACCTAAATATTTTTAAAATTTAAAAAGCAGAAATGGAAAACTTAACTAATATGTGTCTTAAATTTCTATATGGGTCTAGATAGCAAGGAAAGTGCAAGAACGTGCATAAGCTCACCAACGTGCCTACCGTCCCTGTCCTATTGTTTCTTTTTATTTTTCTTATATGTATCCATTTCATGTATTCATAACTATGTTTATACTTATACCTATTATCTTATAATCGCTTGACAAAATAAAATACATAAAGTAAGTAAAAAACATTTTATGGCCGAGGTATACAGTACTACTAGTATATACAGTTGTGGGCTAGTCAATTTGCCTTTATTTGTAGTCAACTGAATGTTGATTCACTAGATCTGTGCAATTTACCCAATAGCAGAGGCCAGCTGTGGTGATAAACACAGACATGACCACCCACTTAACAAATGCTCCTACTGGAAAATATGCATATTGGCTTTCAGCCCCATATGTTGCATATGGGCAGTGGATGCACATCAGTCTTTTAATCCATTTCACTTACAGGCGGTCCTGGAGATCCCGGTGGGCCAATTGCTCCAGGAGGACCTTGCTCTCCACGATTACCTTGCAAGCCCTGTTTTTTTTTAAAAAAAAAAAAGACTGTTGTGAATATGCAGAATAGAATAGAAACTCTTCTAAAGATAATAGAAACTCTTCTAAAGATATATGTGGTAGCCAAATTTAGTCGTCTAGGATAGAAAATGTGCCAACTCCTCAATATAAGAAAGAATGCTAACTAAGCAGATTACTCAGAAATCAATTAAACAAGAGGAAAATAACCGCTCATCTTATTTAGGCTTGTCAGAGGTCAGTGGTTCTTTTTTTTTTATACTTACATCTCGACCAGGGTCACCCTGCTTTCCTGGATCACCCTAAGCAAATAAAGCAAGGATGCAATCAGGAGTCAGGCATTGAATTGTGCCTTGCGGTCATGCCATTGAGGTTGTTTTACTTCCTTTTTTCTAGGTGACAAATGGCTATAGTGATGATCTCATAAAATCTACATAAACACTTGTACAGTAGTACCTAAGACATCCTTTCTTTATATTGTTCTGCTTAATAAATAATGCCACGAGAATAAAACTTGCATATATAAAATCAATTAGTACGCTCCAGTAAAGACCAATGATAATTAATTTTTATATTTTGGAACGAACAAGATGATCCACAGTGTGACTCCATTATTGTGAGCATTGCTATCAGTACAAAATACTTTTTTGGACTTAGCAGCAACTTCCCATAAACAGCTGACTTTGCTAAGAGGAATGCATCGTGGCTTAACAGCTGTTAAATCTAAGCTGTAGTCCTGATATACCTGAAGACACCAAGTATCAGACTTACTCTTTGGCCTAAAGGGCCTATTTGTCCAGGTTTTCCATCCATGCCATTCCGACCATCCAGGCCTGGAGGACCTCGATCCCCCTGAAGAAAAAATTAAATGAATAAGTCAATGAGAAAACAAGTAGGAACTGTGTGAATTACACATTACTGCTCATGAGACAATGGAGACGGGCCATTTAATAATTCATACATCATCCACTTTTATCTGCAACAATGGAAGCTACTTTGTTTTGTTTTGTTTTTTAAGAAAGAAAAAAACCTGAAGCTTCTCTCTAAATTCTGTATGAAAATATCAGGTCTTGTAGCTTTATCAAAATATTTGGTGGGATTTCATGGCTTTCGCCAGTGTCTTTTCTTCCATCATCTCTTCTAGTAAATGACAAAATCAGAACTCTTACCTTCTCTCCTACTGGGCCTCGTTCTCCAGGGTCACCCTGCAAAATGAGACAGTTGACAGACCATCTAAGTAAAAAAATGGTTAGGCAGACTGGGCCTTCTGTTATTCAGTAATCCCACAGGAAGCTACAGCATTACATTCCCTTCTGAAACATATGAAAAGTGGGGGGGGGGAAAAGACTCACACGAACTCCAGGGACCCCTCTGGGACCTTCAATTCCCTGGAAGAGAGGGGATAAAGATGTCTCTGCAATTTTCTTATAGAAAAGGAATGGTTGATACCAGTTTCCTGAACTGTAGTCTTACAAGCCTTCCCAAAACCTCTTCCCGTCTCCCCTTACTACTGTTTATACTGCAAAGGACTTGGTCAAGCCATGATTTCTTCTTGTGCTCTTCATGTTTCATTCTCTCACTGCAGGAGAGAGTGACGGGGCGCTGCCTCGAGAGCGCATTGACACTTACCAGCATATCCATATCTTTCCTAATGAGTGGATTCTTTTCTGTGAGTTTCAGAAGCAGAGGGCTTACTCTGCCTATTTGAGTTTGAAGCCTGATTATGATTATTTTCAATCACAAGAAATTCTTTCAATACCAGAGAAGATTATCTGTTTCAAAAGCTTACCTCCATCTCAAATCCTGGACTTATGCTAGAAAGAGGGAAGGATTAAAAGTGCCAGTGTGCCCCCATATGCCTTTCCTCCATGTTTAACTGCATGACTAGAACAGCTGAAGCAGGCGCCATATTTCCTTCTTGAAAGATGCACTGTAACAACTGGAATCTTACCCTCTCTCCTGGCAGGCCAGGTGAACCAACTTCTCCTTTTGTTCCTTTCATGCCATCCTCTCCAGGGTCTCCTGGCTCCCCCTAAAATGGAAAAAGACAACTGGCACACAAGTAGTTTTATTTTTTATAAACTGAAGTACAGAAACTAATTTTGAGGTATGTAAAGAATCCCAATTTTTCTGAGGCCCAAACTAGATATGACATTAAATGCATTTTTACACAAATGGGCAGATTTTATTAAATTCCTTCAGCAGGTGAAGAAAAATACCTAATATCGCAAATTAAGCAGGAGTGCAGAGAAAGAATTAAAATATTATTTTAAAATGCCAAAACTAATTTAGATTCAGAAAACTGGTACATAAAGTGAGTTATGATAGGAATACATAAAAATGTCCAGCTTGAGAAAATGAATAATATTTTCTCAGAATAGCACACCAGATATGCTGGAAAGGTCACTCCACACTGGGATATTTCTCTCCCATTTGTAATAAAACTGAATGAAAGTTATCTGATTTTGTGAAGTTGATCACTACAGGGAAGCGAAGATAAATGAAATAATTAAAAAGAATTTGAGAAATGGTAAAATGGTGTCATGTAGATTAGTATAGATATGCACGAAAGTAGGAATCTATGGTTGGTAGCAGTTACACATCATACTCAAATGAACAGTGTGTATGGAAAGAACTTTTGATTAATTTTGGAAAAAATTATGCAGAGTTCTGAATAAATATAATCTAGAGGAATATATACTGTATTCTATGGGTGACACAAATGCTTGGATGTGAATGAGATGAAAGAGTATAGAAAAGTAAAAGGAACCAGGCACAAGGAATTACCATAGTTTAGAAAAATGTTGGTTTCAAATATGTTCTCAAGTCTATTAATGGCAAATGAATGACTATAAATCTAAAAGCATGACTGATCTCATTCGTTATGATGGAAGACCAGGAGAATCAGTGAAGGAAATAGTGATGAGAATTTTTGAATATGGGGTTGGCCATCTTTTGGTTATGTAAAAAGTGGATCTTAGGAAAAATGGGTAAGCAAAGAAAAGAAAGAAATGAAAGAAACAAGTGAATATAGAATGATTGCAAGAAGAGGAAGGAAGAGTCCTCCAGGAAAATAATTTAATCTCTCAAACAGAATGTATTGGTAGTGAATGAAGCAAAAGAAGATGAGGAAGCTGCTTGCAACAGAATACAAAGAATTATATTACATGCTTGATAGAAAAATGAGGTGACAGGGTTATGGATGAGAAAGAATACACATGAGAAAATGATTACTGCCAGAAATTATGATAAGAGAAAAATGGCTTTTTTTTTTCTTCTTGATACATTTTATTGTCTTTTAATTTTTTTATTTACAAGCTGCCTAGCATTGCTATGAAATTGATGAAATTGAACTTAAAATAATAAATGAATAAATAAAAATACATACACTTTTGCAAAGAATATAATCAAAATGAGCAAGAAATGGTTAACATTAAAATAATTAAAATGCATGAACGTTTGGTTGGAAATGTATTTTTTTTACATGTGGAGAAAGATGACTAACTAAGAAGTCTCAAAAATTGTGATGAGGTTTTATCCTAAAAGTAATTTAGTATAAAATTGAAGTAGAATAATGCGGGAAGGGTATTAGAGAGATTTGCATAGGAATGATAGCTATACCCAGAAGAAAGGAACTGATATGCTATAAACATTTGTATTTGAGATAGATATGATGCAAAGTAAGTAATAAATGCCATGAGAATATTGAAAAATGATTATATAATTGGAGAAAGATTAAAATATGGATTTTTTTTTTTGCTTCTGGAGTAGCTGTGTTATTAGTGCAATCTATATATGAAGTCTGGAACTTTGCCTGATGATTGGAAGAATGTAATTTTTCTTTCCTTATACAAAATAAAAGTAGCAGAGACAAACCACATGGGAATTAATTGATCAAGTGTGCTGTCTGGGAAGGCATATGGTAGAATTGTGATCTAAAGTGTATGAAGTGACAAGGAACAAAATTTCAAAAGTGCAGTGCAGCTTTTGTTGACAGTGCTGACCATAGTTTTGATCTTTAGCAAATCACTGAGAAATGTAAAAACGTACAATTTTTGTTCATTGGAAGTGATTAAGAATGGTATATTATAGAAAGGAAACATATTCCCAAGTATGAGAATAAATAGAATGCTTAACAAATCAATCAATATTGAGCCCAGACTAATTTCATGATGTTGTTTAATATATTTAAACAATATATTTAATATATTTCTGAGTAATGTATGGGGAATGCTTGTGGCAACATTAGAAGTCTGCGCTTGGAGATGTAAATGTACACTTAGTTATGTATAGAGATAAGACTGTTCTGTAATGAATCTAGATAATTTGAAGCAAATAATAGGTTATAACAAGGCAGTAACAAGAGGAGCAGGAAAATGGCACCAATGAGCCGATAGGACAACCCAGTTGCTCTATGTTTTATTTTATTCTGTTCTATTTGTTTTCTTCATATTCTATTTTATTTTACTCTGCTAGCCAATTTTGACTATTTTACTGCCCCCTGTGCATAATTAAACAATCATGACACTCTAAGCATCATAACATTTACATCAAGCTACCCAAAAACAGAAGACATCATGGTGAAAAGGAAAAATTGTAACAAAACAAATCCAGGCTTTACCTAAGTCATCAAAGTTACTAAAAATGACAAGACATGTCAAGAAAATGAATCCAAATAATCTAAAAAGTGAGAGGCGTGGATCAGGGAATTAATGTCACTAAAGACCAATATTGTTTTTGGCAAGGAAAATACTAACATGAATAATTGCAAGCTATACACGGACAATGAGAAACTAGACACAGTGGCTGAATCTGTATTCCCTCTTAGAATGTTTATTCAAGAAAAGTCAGGGGATGAAGACACTGTAAGATGTACAAAACTGATCGGAAGAGAGCAGGCAGTATGTGGGCTATTGTGTGGGATGAAAGTGTATTGAAAGAAGCAAAAACAGCTGTGTATAAGACTGTGCTTCTGCTAATGCTATTATAGTCAGTTTTGAGATGGGATGATAGGATGAGTGCTTAGTCAGAAGAATTGTAAAAGTAAATTCAGTGTTGTAGGAATTGCTTACTTAACAAGTGGTAATAAAAGATGAAATACAATCCACGTTGGGACTTTATAGCAGGATTACCTTTTCACCTTTTTGCCCTCCTTCTCCAGGTCCCACACCAACCTGTAGACCAGAAATGAAATAGTACATCAGGAATATGGAGAATCAAAGTTTAAAACAACATACTGGAAACAAAAATATGGCACTCACAGTTTGGCCTGGAGGACCTGGCTCTCCCTGCAGAAAAAAAGGGGACAAGGAAGCAGCAATGATTAAAATAAGAAGTGGGAATTTTATAGTGCTTGTAATATGTTTCTTTTTTTCCTTATGGATGGCATTATACACATTTAATAAATTGAAAGGTAGTTAGTTCTTATTTGGCATCCACAAATCACTGGAGGCATTCCTCAAGTATCTCTTTTCTGCAATTTATAGTGATTGCCCAGGTATTTGCAATTCAAACATAGTAAACCAAGAACAGGAACCCCAGAGAAGGCACAAAAAAGAGCAGCTTGGATGGATAGGTAAGCACTGTTACAGTATATCTACCTCTACTACTTCCTCCTCTGTGACTTCTGGGTCAGCTGTCGCTTCACAGAAGTAGGTGCTACAGAGCCCTTGGAATAGGAATAGCAATAGCACTTAGACTTATATATCACTCTACAGTGCTTTATAGCACTCTCTAAGTGGTTTACAGAGTCAGCCTATTGCCCCCAACAATCTGGGTCATCATTTTACCGATCTCTGAAGGATGGAAGGCTGAGTCAATCTTGAGCCGGTGAGATTCAAACTGCTAAATTGCAGGCAGCTGGCAGTCAGCAGAAGTAGCCTGCAGTACTGCACTCTAACCACTGCGCCACCACGGCTCTTGGAACCTAGGCCAGTGATTATTGCTGGTGACACCCTATCTTTTGTTTTCCTCCACATTTTGTGTGAACTAGAATAAGCATATACCATACCTGGGTTACAAAGATCTGGATGATTACTAGGTACCTGCAGAGAAGGAGCTTTTTTCTACTGTGGTAGAGAAGAAGTAGGTGTATATGATCCTATCTTTCCCTCTTTCATGCTCTCAACTCCTGCACTTTGGATGGGTGCATGGAGCTGGGGGTTTCTCAGCAGGGAGTGGGCATCTGAGAGATATGCTTTGAGGGCCACAAAGCTTTACTTATGCCTTGCCCAATAGAAAGGAATTCTTGCCCTTGTACCTCATGCTTTCAAGGATGGATGCAGAGGGGCTTTGTGCTTCTGAGTGAAGCATCTTCTCAATTTGCAGAGCTCTATTCTTTATACCTGCTTAAATATCTCTATTATCAAACAGTCCTTTCCTGCCTGGGAATCACTTGCTTCCAACTTGTAGCTTCACTCCTTGCATCCTGGTTAAAGGAAAAACACTACTGCTACCCTCAATAGGCTGGTTCTATATTTGTGGTCAGTTTCAATATATAGCAACCTGGAGACCAAATAGATTTAGACTGGGAAGAACAAACTTCAGTAAGAAAAAAGTTTCTTAAAAGTGGCATGATGACTTACGGGACTCCCTCGATCACCCTTCAACCCTGATGGTCCAGGGCTGCCCTATAAAAGAAAAGAACATTTTTGTAAACTGGGCAAGGCTTTGGCAGTCAAATTCTTCAATGACACTTGAAAATGGGAATGAGCTCTTACATTTCTCCCATCTTCACCTGGGTCTCCCTGGTCTCCCTTCTCACCAGGAAGGCCTCTAGTGCCTGGAGGACCCTATGTAATAAAAATAGAAATGAAGAATCTGTAGAATCTGATAATTCCATACGTGGAGACATCTTTTCTTGGAATTGGCTGGTCAAGGATGGGACTTGAAAAAATAATGCTAGAAAATGCTCCAACTTTATACAAGATTGTGGGACTAGCACATTATAATAAACTTTCAGTCTATGTAGGAGAAGCAGAAGCAGAGCCATGTAGTGGAGTTAAGAGAGTAATCAATCTGGAGTCATTACATTGCCACAAACAATCCAAATTCACACACACACACTCCGAATTCTATTAACTGTAATGTAGTGCCAATTTAGTATTGACTGTGAGTTGACTGGGTTCCTGTGTATAGGCTTGAGCAATAAATCTTTTTTGAACTGCAACTTAAGGTATGGCCCTGATACTTTGCACCTGGCAGTCTACAGGTTTAGCCCCCGTGAGCAATGCCAATCCATACTGCTGATGCAAACCACCCTTTCAAGCTAGATGCAGACAAGAACTTTAGATGAGGAAAGTATTCTTTAGTTTCTGGCTCAGGCTCAGGCAACAACAAGAAAAGTCATTCATTTACTGTACTGCCAAACTGAAAAGATGCCTGGCAGTTTAATACATAAAATATTAAGTGTGATATTTGAACTCAGACTCAGGATACATAATCAGTTCAAAATATAATTTCCAAATGGCCTCCAAAGGCAGCCCCATGCACTGCAGTAATGCATTGCTATCCAACCTCTGTGCATCTACAACACTATCTATATTTCTTTTCTCATTTTAACAGAAATTCTTGGGTTGTGCTTCTGCAATACTTACCCGCGGACCTTTTTCTCCAGGTTTCCCAGTCAGGCCTGGTTCACCCTATGGAAAAAAGAAGGAAGTAAAATAAAAGTCAAAGTAAAGTGTAAAGTAATAAAATAAATAAAAGAATAAAACAAAATAAAATAAAATAGAGCGCCAGAGTGGATAATAGAGAAATTGGGACAATTACTTACAGAGATTCCTTCCTCTCCTTTGTCACCTCTTTCACCCTAAAATCCACAGCAGAAAGATTACATCCGACCATTGCTTCTATCATACACTGTGTTTGAATATACTTAGTGCCCTAACATTGCAATCTAACATGTTAGCATGTCAAAAGAAAAATACTTGCTACAAATTCACTTTTGGCATCTCTTTCTGCAGGTCCATGGGATGGAAATTATTTCATGCAATCTTTTTCATGCAGGATGCAGCTGCAGCATTTCTTATACAAGTAGTCTTCCACTTACAACAGTTCATTTAGTGACCGTACAAAGTTACAAAAGCACTGAAAAAAGTGACTTAAGACAATTTTTCACAGTTGCAACCATTGCAGCTTCCCCATGGTCATGTGATCAAAATTCAGACGCTTGGCAACTGACTCATATTTATGACGGCTGCAGTGTCCCAGGATCCCCTTTTGCAACCTTCTGACATGCAAAGTCAATGGGGAAGCAAAATTCACTTTACAACATTACTAACTTAACAACTGCAGTGATTCACTTAACAAGTGTAGCAAGAAAGGTCGTAAAATGGAGCAAAACTCACTGAGCAACTGTTTCGCTTAACAACATAAATTGTGGTTGTAAGTCAAGGACTACCTGTAAATGGCCATCCAGCTTCATGGATGCCTATGAAAATGAACCTGACCTTCCAGGAAGTAAGTTCTGCTAAACAAGTTAGACTATATTCCGGCGACCTGAGAAGAAATCAATCCAGTTTTGAGATCACTAGTGAAGTGATGCTCAAAGGTGATATGCTAATATGGTGATGGCACACTCTTAAAGGTTTCTATGGAAGTTGCGTCCTTGCAGCTTTACCAGTTCTGATACTAGGCATGATTGAGGTACTCTCAATCAATTATGTTAGTCGATAAGATTTACGATGGAATCCATTGGATCACCATTCTAACTGAAGAATATTTATAGCTACAGTACTACTGATATAACAGTTAGAAATATAGAGACAGTAGGAGTTTATAAGTAAATATTTATGTTGTCTACATGCCAAATCCAAGAAATGGTAGGGTTCTTCCTTTTCTTACCTCTTTTCCTCGTGGGCCAGTTGGTCCTGCGGGACCTGTTCTTCCTGACTCTCCCCTCTCCCCTGGCTCTCCTGGATCACCCTAAGGAAGTGAATCATCCCAAGGGGGAAAAATAAAGTAAATACAGAAAAATTCTGAAGAAAACTAAATCTAATGACTAACATTCTGGGAAATAAGTTGGGAAACCTTCTACTCCCACTTTGATTACTATCTAATTACTGATAGAAAGTAGCAGCCCCACCAAAACACCTTCCAATAGTTTACCAAAAGTCTAAGCTGAAGGAAATCCAGTGCATTCAATCAGACCTATAACTGATGCAGAAGCCAGAGAGTGTAATCAGAGGTGTTATCCAGCAGGTTGTGAGCAATTCTGGAGAACTTGTAGCGGAAATTTTGAGTGGGTCAGAGAACCGGCAAATACCACCTCTGATTGGAGATTTTACAGTATCCTTCCCCTGCCATGCCCACCAAGCCATGCCCACAGAACCAGTAGCAAAAAAATTTGAATCCCACCCATGAGTGTAATGTGTATGGTTGCTGCTAAAATCTGTGCCTCTCCATTAGCAACAACTTGAAGAACACACCCAAACTGTCCACCTACCCAAGACTGGTTATGTATCATTACCATGTACCATGTAAGACCCACCCACCTGGCCCAGAGCCCAAATCAGTCTCCTTTTCCTCCCTTCCCCCAATGCACAATAATCACCTTTGGGCCAGTTTTGCCAGCCAGTCCTGTAATTCCCTGAAAGAAAAAAGAAAACTGATAATTATTGTGATTCAAATGATCAAGTCAGGAAAACTGCACAAGAAAGCTTGTTGCACAATCAATTTTAGACAAGGACTAAGAAATACTCCATGAAAAAAACTAGCAGAGCTTTATTACCTGTTAGTAGCTGCAAGGGTACATACATTGTTCTGCATTCTGTAGTGAATGCACAGAGAGACTGGGCCCATATCTACTATTTGTACAAAGAGAAGTGATACTTGAGCCTTCTTTTATTAGACCTGACGGAGCTAGGAGCCAAAGCCTTGCACTTATGTCAGCTCATTAAATTGAAATGTAACTAGGGAGTCTAGTGGTCTATTCTACAGGGTTCCCTTCCCTTTCTGAATGAAAAAAGGGAGACTACCAGAGCCTTAAAGATGTACCGTTGGCATGAATTTAGGACTCACATTTTCTCCTTGTTCTCCTTTTGGGCCAGGTGGGCCAGGGACACTAAGACCAGGAGGTCCCTGAATAAAAAGTAAAAAAAAAATCATGGAATAGAAAGACTTAAAAGGATGTCTTATATTCATATATGTATATGCATATCCACCATTATTAATAAGCTATCATCTTTAAGATCACAAATATTGAGAAGCTCTGGAAAATGTTCTGCAATGAAAAGAAATTGAACCACAAAGAGTATTTGGAGGGGGGGTATTCATCAGTGACCTGAAATATGTCTGGTGAAAGATCTGACGAAATGGCGCGAGAGATTTTTTTTTAGCAGGTGAGTCTGAAGGCCGTATTTGGAAAGAAGAAATATATTCCCCATTTCTATCAAAGAAGAACCACCGTCCCATTCTAATAATGAAGCCAACAGTAACTTTCACAGCCATCTTAGCCTGGTCCTCACTTTTGCTCTCCAAGGCAGATAGTCCTACAAGGTAATATCAGGCTATATCTAAAAGTGAAAACAAGCCTTAACAGAAATCGAAGCAATTAACATCCTAGTTTGCTGTTCAGCAGGAAAAATTAAACTTTATTTATTTATTTATTTATTTTATTTATAAAATAAATTGGCCACCCGCCTTATTTCAGGGTTGCATTGATCATTTTATCAGGCTGCATTATCATAATCAATATATTACAATATCTAACCATAACCTTAAGTACTCACACGTTCTCCTTTGTCCCCAGCATCTCCTTTAAGTCCAGGTGGACCTTCAGGTCCTATAATGCCTCTTTCTCCCTGAAAAGGGAAAAACAGAATCACAATGTCAATGTTCCATTGTGGCATGACAATATTCCTACTTCCCATGTGACACATTTAAGTTGAGCATTGCTTTTTCTTATTAAATCAAATTACAAAATGAAACTCCTGGAAAAAGAGAGCCACAATAGTCCTGTGAAATCGTTTCTTTAAACCAATTCCCCTGCTACAACTAATATAAATTAAAATAGTGTAATCTAAACTGTGTATTCCTTACATCTGTAACATGAAATTTGTTCCTGTGCAGTTACCTTGTCTCCTTTAATTCCAGAAAGGCTGGATGCCTAGAAGAAATATAAAAAAGATATTTGCTGAGACCTTTCCAGATCATATTCCAGAAATGCAAACTTGCAAAAAGGCACTTCCTATCCATTGTTACAATAGATAGGGTTGTATGAATGTTATACAGTTACGTTCCATAATTGTATGAACGTAACTATGCCAGGACAGATGGATAATGAAGTTCTCCATAGCTGACGGCCAGATGAAGAAGAAATATAGTCTTTTCTAGACCAGGCATTAAGCAACCAGAAAAAGAAAAAGAAAAAACTAGGATGAAGATGAACGGTGTTTTACCCACTCTAGCTGTTTATGATATTTATGATGGCTGATTACAATGGGGCACTTACCGGCAGACCGGGTATACCAGGTTCTCCTCTCTCTCCCTATGGCAGAAAGGGACACAGGAAACTTGTTAGGGCAGCCCAAATTGTTTAAGCTTACCGCAAGGACTTACCACTATTGACCTCCACTGATGATTTTATAAGCTCATAACATCAGGCAAAGTATTGTACCTTCACTCCCTTCGCTCACTATAAGACCACACCTTAGTTTTACTGGGAGTAAAACTGGGAGTTGTGATCAATAAACTGGACTCTCAAGAATCTGAGAGTAGAATTTCATTCAGCCCATAGTATATGAAATTGTTGTGTGGGAACAGGCCACTTCATATTAATTTCCATTTCAGTAAGCTCTGGATACAGGAATGTGTTGTGAACTGTTTTCATCACAGCTACATGCCAGCCATTCAGAGCTCTATAGGTCAGACTTGCACAATTTGTGGCTCACCAAATAAGTATGCCAGTATTCCAAATGACTGACAAAATCTGAGCCAATTTCATAATAATAAGAACTGGAAATTAGTATTAATATAAACAGAAATAGTCAAAAGCAATGCAAGGACTCAACTATTAATATTGTTCCTACATAAATGGGAATGGCAGGTTACATTCCTAATTACTTTCAGATTCAAGAACCCTGCTGTGCAAACATATTCCCAATATAAATTAGAGCATTTGCCATAGGCTTAAGAATCCTTACTTGTTCTCCTCGTGGCCCCGATGGTCCTTGTATGCCCTATTTGAAAAATAAAGTGGGAGGGGGGAAGGGTTATTTATTCAGAATAACCATGGATCTAATACTAGGCAGCAGTATCAGGAGGAGTTCTTGAAGTCAGTTAGGTGAATAAAGGTGAATTATTGGCCAACATTAAGAAGAATCCTTATTGAGGGATAATATAGGCAGGAACAAGTGTACCTGAGTAATGAGAAGATTCAAAGGGATTCATATATTTTTATTATTGCACAACTGAACTGCAGCATTAAGATTACTTTTTGGATGTCCCTTATGGTGGGAAATAATTCTTTTCGGTTTGGCCTTGAATATTCAGATTTCAGATGAACCTAGATCAAGAAACCTACATTTCTACTGAGAAGCTGCAACAGATGGGAAAGAGGAGGATGAACTGGAGAAGTATAAAGTAAAAGTTTGTCAACCCTCCCTACAATTACTGATTCCTTTTGGAAATCATTCTAGGTCCCCACATGTTTTTCCTCTGAAACAGCAAAACATGCTTGAAGAATCTGGGAGAAAAAAAGTTTGCAGAAAAAAACTTTGTCCGTCTTTTACTTCTCCATTACAACTCATGATATTTCACTATCATTTGCCAATAGATCCCCTTATTCCAAAAAATAGAGTCAATTTTCACTACAGCAAATCAAGACACAATTCCACATGTTTTATCCTTTTTCTAACCTTTTCTCAAGTTGCTTCTTTTCAGACTCACCAAATTATCTTTGAACTATTGCACTCAAAAAGAGAGATAGGAGAATTGTTCTCAGATGAACAATATTTGACCAATAAGACCAAAATTTAGTCAACACTACTGTCCCCCAGAAATAGAAAAACTGTTGATTTATGTCTAGATTTTACAGAATTATGAGATATTGAGATTTTAAAAACTCTCACACTTACATCTCTGCCAGGTGGACCAAGACGGCCTGAAGGACCTTGTTCTCCCTAAAATGAAAAAGTACTGTAAACATGTAGCGTATGTGAAATATTCCTAATTTTATCATCTGAACAAACCTGTTGGATAATTTAGACTTAGAAGCAAAGCTTTCTTAATCCAAATTTTAATTTTTAGCTGTTAGACCATGCTGTTTTTTTCCCAGAGAAACATATCCAAATTACTGTTGGATTAGGTTATTCCTTGATATAATATGGGACAATGCGGTGGCTCAGAGGTTTGGCTGGAAAGCTGGCAGTCTAGTTCGAGACCTGAATGGCACATGATGTGATGGGGTGAGTTCCCATCCTCTCCCCAGCTCCTGCCAACCTAGCAGTTTGAAAGCATGCAAATGCAAGTAGATAAATAGATATCACTTTGGAAAGGTAACAGCAATCTGTGACATCATGCTGGCCACCGAAATATCTTCAGACAGTACTGGCTCAATGGCCTTGAAACAGAAATCAGCACTACCCCCTATAGTTGGCAATGACTGGCGGAGTAAAATCTGCAGGAATCCTATATCTTTTTCTTTTGATATAATATGGTCAATTCAGAATGAGCGCGCGCACACACACACACACACCTTCTCTCCTTCAGGACCAGGCAATCCACGGTCTCCCTAGAAGAGTAAAGAAATTTTTGTAAAAGGTACGTATCAGGCAAAATGCATTTTGTTTCCATAAAAAGCATCTCACAGCAATGACTTTATTGAGCTTTATACTTTTCTATTTTGCTCATTCAGAAAAACTCTGAATCTAAGTGAAACCCTTTTTTACATTAAGGATGGATCTGAAGATAAATCCTAAATTACATTCTAGGTACTCCAGTTCATAAACATTTCAGAGAACATATAAAAATCTCTCTGGATGCCAACAGTGCATTTGACTTCACTGTAAAATGATGGTAACTACATTAACCATGAATTGTTATATAAGAAATTAGAAAAATCAAGTTATGTAATTCACACACATACAAATTAGTCCTTGGTTTGAAAACTTGATCCAAACCACTTGCATGCAATCTTCCATCATTAACAGAGATTTCGTTCACAGCATTGCTCCACCCAAACCTCACCTTCTCTCCTGATGGCCCAAGTGCACCAGGCAGTCCACGGTCTCCCTATTACGGGGGGGTGGGGGGAGAACCAAAATCAGTATTAGAAGTACCAACAGGTACAAATAATTCACGAAGGGACAAAAATAATAGCTGTAAATTAAAGGTTTATTTATAAGGGCTCTCTAATCTCATCCACAGAAGGAACAAAAGTTTCCTATGAAGAAACAAATAAACAAACAGATCTCCCTTTTAGTGCCTTTGGCTGAACCTTCTGCAGAAAATTTCCCCAGAAATGTGTACTATCAAAAGTAAAAATGAAATGTATATAATTGTCCACTGCCCATACAGACAGAAGATCTGTGTGAACAATGCTTATCTCATTCAGTATAGACATTAATGACATCAACAGTTGTGGTCACCTTTCTTATTTAGAAGTGTGTTATGGGCTTAGTCCTCCAAGTCTAAATGCAGCACTGGAATTTGAGCAACACCTACCTTGATCCCAGGTTCACCTGGAGGTCCTCTGGGGCCCTAAAGACAACAGCAACAACATTTTTGTTTGGGGGATTAGTGAGCAATCTAATATACATTGTTCTCTTGGAACTAATTTAACCATTCTTTTTAAATTCAGTTAATAAAAACTTTGTAACAACGATGTACAGTAAACAGGAAATTTTGGTTTTGGTTTACTGTCCATATTATTATTAAATTTGTTTAACAAGTTTATATAGACACCTATTCATTAATGGAACTTTGGGCGGCAAATGAAAGATAAAACATAATACATAATCAAACAATTAATATTTTTTTTAATTCAGACAAATGAATGCAACGTAAGGAAATGACTCCTGTTGTTCACCACTATATTACCAGCCATGGAAAAATGCTGAAAAATTAGAGAGTATCTTTGATTGAATTAGAGATATTTTAAAAGGTAAGAAATCTTCTCAGGGAAGATTTTAAGTGCAGGACAAATTCATAACAAGAAAGGTATCTCTCAGTAATTTAGGTCATGAATATTTTTGGATTTTAAAGATTAAACTCAACAACTTAATTTAACCTCTAATGAATGAATGAATGAGCACATGTACATATACACTCCCCATACACACACACACACACACACACACACACACACACAGGGGTATGTGTATGTGTGCATAACCTACAATCTTTAACATGAGCATAATATGCTTCTGATAGGTGAAAACAAGAAATTTTAGGATAGTCCCATTTACAATGCCTTGAAGCATTTTAATCTTGATCTATGACACGAGACATGAACACTTAAGGCAAATTCTAATTTGTTCAGAAATAGTAACGAGTAGCACAATTGTGCAAGTTGAGGATCAAAGAGCATTCCCACGTGGCATACCGATTTTCAGGGTTTGAAATCACATTTGGACAGGGCTAATTTTCCACCCTTTAATTCCTCACTCCCCGGTCTTAGTTTCTATTTATTATAATATACTTAGACAACCCATAAGGACCCCAGCTGCTTTCTTAAACTTAAATGGCAAGAAGCAATATTACTGAGTGTCATGAACAGACTGATGGAATTTAATTTCAAAGTTTCGGATGATAAACAATAGTTTTTCACATAAATATTAAATACTAGGCAGTACAAAGCCAGTCCAGCTAATCTTTATTAAGTTTACTCATTTAAATTTAAGTTGAAATGGTTTCTGCTTGATAGGCTCTTAGGAACATTAAGAGAGAGCGTTTTTCTCTAAAAACTCACCCGATCTCCAGGGTCTCCAGTACGTCCAGGAAGTCCAGGAAAACCTTCTTCTCCATCTCCCTTTAACATAAAGCAAAGCAGTGGCCACCCATAATAAACTTAAGGAAGTTTGCTGGTTAAAAGCAGGAAGTGAAATCTACAGAATTTCCAGCTCAAATTAATCTGTATCAGCATAATTCTGGATTCATACACTCAGATGCACAACCTCAGCAGGTAGTCCTTGACTTATGCATGACTGCTTAATAGCTGTTCGAAGTTACGATGGACTCCCCAGAACTACTTACAACCTGTTTTCAAAATTATGACAGCCACACAGACATCTATCATCACGTGATCACATTTTGGGCGCTTTGCAAACTGGCTCACCTTTACAGTCATTTACAGTGTCACACAGTCATCTGAACTGTCTTTCAGTGGGTTTTTTTGCATTTATTTCCAGTTTTGGGCAAAAAGCACCCAATGGATGCAAAAAAAAAAAAGTCAAAAAATTGGGCCTGATCTCATGATGCTTCAACTTACAACCACCACAACTTACAACCACAATTCCAGGCTCAATACTGATCGTAAGTTGAGGACTACTTATTTTCAGAAGCAGCCATATGAAAGGCTTCTATCTAGAATTTTGAATGGGGGTCAACCCCTCCCCCCCACCAGCTTCAATGGAGTGCTCCTTTGATTAATCTAGACTCCATTCATCCTTTCAGTCAGTGAACAGATCCATGTCTTACCTTATCGCCTTTTTGTCCTGGAGTTCCAGGGGGTCCCCTAGGCCCAGGATCCCCAGGAATACCCTGGAGAAACAGGGGTAAACACAAAAGACCAAATTTTAATTCTTTCCAATAAAACAGTCGTTTACTGATTTTGTTCATTTTTCTAGGAGACTCAGATGTCCTCCCTTATGACAATACTTTAGTTTCAGACCTATTATAATTTTCTAATTTTCTTCAAGTTTTACAAATGTTCTCCAACAAATACTTTAAAATGTCACTCTTGTTCTTTCTCATATACCCACCCAGTATTTCTCAAGTATTAATAATATTCAAGTATTCATAAATCCCATGTTGTCCTATAGCCCCAAAGCTAAAACACGGCTAAGAATGTACTCACTGGAACACCAGGTTCTCCTCTGACCACACCCCCATCACCTGATCCAGGAGGGCCCTAGGAAGAAAGGAAAGGTGAGCTCTGGATCTCTGCAATTTCACATTGGGAAAATAAAGCACATTAAAAGGGTACAGGAACACAAAGAAAAAAAGAACCAAATCCTAAAGGGATAGAGAAAAAAAAGTAGCAGGAGAGAAAAACCTACTAGAAAGGGGGGGGGGCGGAAATCCCCAGGGAGGGAACCATAGAAGAAGCAGAAGGAGGGTGGAGCAAAGTGAAAAGGGCAAAGCATTCAGAAGAGAAGGCAGACTTACATAAAGAGGACTGTGAACAGGGTTTTTATATATTTTGTGCCTGGCCAAATCCCTCACAGCTGTTAATTTGGGAACTTTGCACCACTCCAGATGTGCTCACAGTCACCCAAGAAACAAAGTACTACAACTCTTTGTCCTTTTGTTGCTTTCCTGAAGCACACTGCACTCTTTATGCTCACTTCACTCTTCTGTCACATTTACTTAGAAGTAACATTTCCAGATTTTAGGGGAACTTCCTCCAAGGAAGTCAGGACAGAGAAATGAATCTTACATTCTGACCGAAAATCCTTGTTGGTTTATCAGAGGTCCCCAAACTTGGCAACTTTAAGACTTGTGGACTTCAATTCCCAGAATTCCTCAGCCAGCTATGCTTTGGATACCCCCTGGCTATCATATGGCTGTTTAGCAACTGAATTACTGACTGATATCTCAGCAAATGCAGAGCAGGCAGGGAAAAGGAAGGATCACTTACTCGCTCACCTCGGTCGCCCTTCTCGCCCTGTAAATAAAATTATCATATATGTAAGCATATTCATTAGGCTCAGCAGAGAAACTAATTATGAGAAAGCACAAGTATTGGGTAAAAGGAAATAGTGACTATATATACAGTGAATATGTAATTCTAGAGCTTATCCAAAAAGTATGGCAAAAAGAAATGCTTCAGATATAGTCTATACCAAGTTATTATGTATTAGAGTTAGGATTTATTATTAGTTTCCAAAATTATTGACATTTGTTTGTTCAACTGTCTATCACCTTACACATGAGGATAATGGACATGGGTGTAGTGAAAAGCAATATATGGGATTGAGAGACATATGAAGCAGTTCCAAATTTATTGGAAGTATCCGAACATAGGAGAAATGTTCCTCTTTCAAAATGCCTTCAGTTAGGTCAGAACACCTGTTTGAAAACAAGCACTGTAACGCTATGAATCAGACGGAGGCCAATTCCAGAGTATTGCATACCTGTGCAAGAAGGAGAAGGAAGGTTAAAGACAAGGGGGATGGTTTCTACTTTGCCAGTTTGCTGACAGGGCACTATTAATGGGCTTGAAGACAGGGGCACAAAGGGACTTTATGAGCATACAGATGGACTGCATAGCTTGACTTCACATTTAGAAATGAGCATGGATAGTTTCAACTGTTAAAGTAGAAAATCACTGCAAGGAGAGGAAGTCGTACCTTGACAGAAATGCCAGCAGGCCCTGCTGGTCCACGAGGTCCTGGTAGTCCAGGATTCCCTATAAGACCCCGGAGGCCTGGAATTCCTGGGCTTCCCTTCAGACAGAAAGAAAAAGACACTTGGCAAGAACTGGCTTCCCTTTGGTACTCAGCCAAAGAAGCAGGTATAAAGTCAAGCCTGCAATTCAATACACACATCTATGGAAGTGAAACATGAAGGAAATACAGTGGGATCTGTGTGACGAAGTAAATATCCATAGGATTGCTGTTCATGTTTCAAGGTGAGACCCGAAGTGGTAAATAGCCATAGGTTGTAAAGAAATATTTCTGTGTGGCAAGTGACACATACATGAGGACCTTATGAAGGTTAGGATAGTTCCTCCCCCCATACTTCCATTTCCTTGGGAATCCTGTTTTCAGTTTCTTTTTCTTTCCTTCTCCCTCCTATTTGCCTGTAGGGTGTTACTTACTGGATTTCCAGGCTCTCCCTTTAGGCCAGGAAGTCCTCTTCCTCCATTCAATGGTATTCCAGGCTCCCCCTGACCAAGACAAAAGTTTAATATTACCATAGTACAGTTTAGGAATTAAATAAGAACCTATCTAGGATGTCAAGAAGAGCATGGAAATATCTATATAAGCATAAACTGAAGAGGTCACAAAATGTGAGTCACAGTTGATATTTACCAGGACTTTTCCTTATGCTGAGTGTTAAGAGAAGAATTGCATGAAAAAGGGAAATTAGATGGGATGGTGCAGGAACTATAACAGCCTGCAGTTATTAATCGTTTTACAATGTGTTGAAAGGCTGTCAAAATGCCTTTCTTCTGAGGATTCGATTTTCCTGCTGGGAGAGCTCCGGCGCAAGGATACGGACAACTGCTTGAAAGCTGGATCTTTTTATTTTTTCAGGAAGGCGAGAGATAGCAAGAAGTCTGCGTTCCTGGGCTAGCTAGCTTCGTAGGGTAAGTCCCTGATTTTTATACCCTTTTTCTCCTTTTGTGTGTGTGTGCTTGTGTTTGTATTTCTTAATGTTTTAAATCCTGTCAGGGGTTGTGTTTATTTCCGCCGGAGGGTAAACTCTGCGGGGTGCAGAAGGCAAACTTTGCGGGGTGGTTTGATTGTTTTATCGGTTTCGTCCTAATCTTTTTTAGCTTAATGGTTTCTTATATTTGTTTTGTGGCAATCTCCTGTCTGTCTCCTTTGTAATATATTTTGTGTCTTTTGTCTGTTTGTTTTGCTGATTTGGCATGTCTTGTGTTTGTAAGGGTTTTCTTTTCTTGTTTCCCTAGTTTTCTTAATTATTTGGGCTTTTGTCTAAGGGGCTTCTTTAATACCTTTTATTTGATTCCTTTTCCTATGCAAGTTTGTTTTATGGCTGGCCTGATGTTCCCTTTGGGCTTTTCCTGCTTGGGTGACACCACTGTCCTCGTGAAGTTCCTTTTCCACAATTGAAACTGAGAGTTTTTCTATATATAAGAGGGTTGGAGCTAAGAGCTAAGAGTAAGATAATGTCTAAATGAGGGATCAGAATCCCACAGTTTTGTTTTGATTAAATGTGATTATTTGTATGAAAACCAATACCAGTAAAATATCACCTTGTAAACAGAGATGGGTTGGTAAAAGAAAAGCTTTCTATTGTATTATGATGAAGCCATTCTGATGGCAGATTTCAGCTGAGAGTGTGAAGTATTCTCAGCTTTTTTTTAATTCTCATTTTAATGTAATCATCGCCAGATAATTATTTCCATTCTGAACTTACTGTATGATGCCAGAACTGTTACTTTCAAACATATAGTACAAAAATGCTCCCTTTTTATAATTAGGATTCCCCTATCAGCAACTCTGATGCTGTAGTACTGCTTAGGAGGAATGGCCGGAAACGCTAAAGCATACATTACACGGAAATGTTACATATCCCACCACAACAAATTATCCCTGTATGGTCCTTTTCCCAGTCAAACTCTCAAAGATCCACTTACCGGCTCACCTTTCTCTCCTCTTGGCCCAATTGGGCCAGTCAGTCCACGCTCTCCCTGAAAGGCAAAAGATAAGGAGTAAATGGTTCTTCAGTTGGTAACAAGGCGTTTAATGGCAAATATTATCTTTACTTACTTGGTTTCCTCTGAGACCAGGAAGGCCAGGGCTGCCCTATGAAGAGAAGGGGAGAGACAGGGGAGAAAAAAGTGAATAGGATTTTGTTTTTTCATGGTGGGAGTAAGAAAAGAGAGGCGAGGAGTAAGATGAAGCAATATATTTGAAAACAAATCCTAGATCTAAATAAAGTAGGCTAACATTAGCCATGGTTAGAATATGAACTTAGTGTGGGGTACATGAAGTATCTCAGTTATAGATAAGAAATCAGATCTTCATTGTGGTCTTGGAGAAATCACACACATGGGGGACCAATAGAGTGTACAGATGTTGGGCAGAAACAGTCACAAAACCAGAGACTCCTTGCCTTTGTGTTGAGCACTAGTATATTTTTCTGCCCCAAGCAGAGATCTATATCCTTTTCTTTTTCTTTTTGGCACTCAATTCATCAGACTGAGACTGAGCACGGGGCTTTGGATTTTTGCACTTGCATCACCTTTAAAATAGTACAGAGTTGTACTGGTGGAGAAGTCACAATTCTATTCTATGTCAAACCAACATGCTTAACTACATAAGCCTTCACAAAAACCCTTCCGCTCTAGAAAGTTTTATTTCTGCTTAAGAACAAAACGGCATGCTTCACTGTGATCATGAAGAAAAAATTGTTCAGTAAAAAAGGATGTATTTCAAAGATGGCAGACACTATCTCAATTACAATGGCAGACTCTATCTCAATTACAACAAAGCATTAGGGACGTATAGGAATGTGTTTGCATGCAACTATACATGGCAAAATGTTTAAAAGGTTAATTACCGGCTGACCAGAAGAACCTGGGCTGCCAGGACGACCAGGATTCCCTGGCGCGCCATCTGCTCCTGAAAATCCCTAGAAGAAAATAGAAACGTTAAGGACATATCTTTGCAGAAAGTATTTACATTTAAGAATCGAAAGCATAGCCATGAAAACACAGATAGGATTTCAGCTTTCTCTAAATTCCAAGTGTCTTCACCATGTGATCTGAAGATAAGAATTTGAACAAATCCAGAATGGGCCAGATAGAAGAAGGTTGCAAAGGTTGAAATTTATATTATATGCATAATACATTCTCATGAAAGACCGGCAAATATGGTTCACAGTTCAGAACTTGACCACTATCCATTATCAAATGATGGCTTGCAGGTCTAAACCAAAATTTACAGAGTTATAACTTTCCTCCAACCTACTGTAAGGTCAGAATGTATTCAATATTTATGGATATGCTTAACAAATTTGGTTCAATGTCATCAAGTGTTGAATAATCAAGAAAGGAGAGATTAGACTGTGTACCTGCACATTAAAGGTTTCTTAATTTGCACATGGCACAAAATTAAGACCAAGTATTCCACTACATAATTATTATTATTTGGCAAATAGGTTCTAATTCCCATAAAATTATTCCTGTTTCAGTATGCTGTAACTTCACACTTTTGGGCAGGCAGGAATTCCCAATTGAAGGCTTTCTTATATAAAAGCAATCTTACAAACAGAAAGATAATACATCAGAAAAATATGTTGCAGTTTGGTTTTCTCATTTTTCTCTAAAAGTTTACTTAAGTTAATGTAAATTTAGTCATGTAAGCCTTCAACTATAATTGGAAGTATTAAAGACACAGACACAAAGCCTTAGGATACAGTAGATGCAAAATTGTTTGTTTGTGGATCATCTTCATTAATCCAGAATTTCTTGTTTCAGAGAAATAGAGACAGATGTTAGAAAATTTGCAACAAGCATAACCAATACCTGTCATTCCAATAATGGTTTAGTTCCTAGGACCCAAAAACAGAGGACAAAGACTTTACAGCACACCAATCTGAATCAGGTCCCAGATTTACACCAAATCTGTAAAATAAACTTGACTGCAATTGGAGTTCCTCTAAGAAAATTAATATAGGGCTGCAACAAAAAATGCCACTCTTCACATAATGGAAGACCTGCCACTCATCAAGCCACCAATGAGATCCAAGCCACATTGTCCCCAAGCAGACACAGATGAATAGCAAAGAGAGAGAGAGAGAGAGAATTTCAGAAGAGATAGTTCCATCTGACTCAAGCAAGAGAACTAAACTACGTATTATAAGAGAAGGCAGAAAGCTTCAAAAATGGTTTATCAGTAGAGGTACCCTTTAGCTTAAAAGATGCATATAATGCAATTCATTGATTGTTGGTGGAAAATTTGATAAAGACTGATAGAGAAGAAGAACTAGGAAAGTTCCTCCTTTTAAAGAGGAAAGTCTGTAACATTCAGCTCTTGGTTTTCTCTTTCATTCGGGGCATTCATGCTGTGAGAACTCACCCTCTCTCCTTTTTCACCTCGCCTCTCAATAGTGTCACCTGGGGGACCCCGAGGCCCCACTGGACCTGGAGGACCTGGGATCCCATTGCGTCCCTGGGGTGAAAAAAGAGTCATTTTGTTTTATAATTGAATACACTCTGTTTCTTTTAGCTGAAGTACTATGCTTAATTCCCAATATCCTTCATGGATACCCCCTTTTATAAAATGAAGGGACAGCAGCAGTACGAATCTCAAGGGGAGAAGGCAGTGGGGGAAGGAGGCAGGGAACCAAAGTGTAATTAATTTTAAGTGGCAACATTTCAGTTTCCTTGTGATCAGACAATATTCTTACAGCAACATCTCTCTTCTATGTGCTCTGTAGTTTCTTAGCATTGAAATGGCTATCATTTTAAATATCATAATTAATTATTGGCTGCTAAATTAAATTATTTTTTCATCTCTCTCCTAACAGGTTTCTAGGATTTAGGAAGATTATTCTGTACTATGGGAAGGTTATATACATTACTCATAAATTTCTTTGATTTTCTGATTGACTCTCCAAATGGCCAATGTATGTACACAGACTCTGATAAAGAATCTGAAATTTGACTGAAATTTCAAGTCAATTTGTTCAGAATAAATTTCACTGAGTTTCGTCCTCAGAATATGTGTGTGCGTGTGTGTGTGTGTGTGTGTGTGTGTGTGTATGATATATGAATTTGTCTCTCTCTTACTATAATCAAAAGCTCAAAAGCTTGGGATATTCGTATCAGATAACTAATCTCAAACTTTAAAAAGCTTACATTATTTGAGGCAGGGGTGCTAAACTCAATGTCATTGAAGGCCACGTTAGGGTTGTGTTTGACCTTGGAGGGGTTTGGAGGGGCGTAGCCAGCTTGATAGCACTTGTGTCGGAGAGGGCACCTGTGGTGACTCGAGTGCTTTGCCAGTGAAAATGGCTCCCGAGCTGCACACGGCCTTCTGTTTTCACTGGCAGAGGCACTGCAATCACTGTTCCAGGACCGCCCCGCAGGCCAGATCTAAGTTCCCTGCAGGCCGGATCTGGACCCTGGGCCTTAGTTTGACATCCCTGATTTAAGGTTTCTGGTGATTTGAATGGAGTAGAAACTCTTGAAATTCTGAGAGAGGTTCTGCCAATGATTTTAATCATGTTTGTCCAAAAAGAGAGAGAGTTGAATTAAACTAAGAGCACTCAAGAAATAGGACCAAACCTCCTCCACATCACAGACTTGTTCTCAAGAAGGCCAAACATTACCGGATTTCCAGAAGGGCCAGGATTTCCCACTTGTCCTCTCTGTCCCTGCAAAATTATTGATAGATAAATGGTCAGTTCCCAAGGAATGATTTATACATTTCCCTTAAAAGAATCCAAAATACCTCCTTCTACAATAAATCTCAGATACTCACAGGCTCACCTGGCTCACCCTTCTCACCCTGTAGGAAAAGAGACAATAGTAGGCTTGATTACACGATCTTCAGATATGTCAAATATATTTAATTAATCATTTTAAATTAGGAATATGTGGGAAGCCTATATCCCTCTTTCCCAGCTACCAAAGAGAGTTTGGTGATCATGCTACAGAAAGAAAATGGTGCTGAACCAATTTAGAAAAGCAATCTTCCCTGATGTCCTTCTCTTTTCCTCTTATCTAGATTGGCCAATTTAAGTTTCCTTGGTTGAGTAGTTATGTTTTGCTTTACCTCTTTTTGAGTATCTCTTAGAATTAGATTCTCTCCCATCCACTACACTAATTAATAAAGAAAAATGCATTAACATCTCACCCTCCCCTTAAGAGCCCTAAAGGACCAGATGATGTCAACATCCAGGGTGTGAGATACTTTTGAGGCAATAGGACACCAAAAGGGGAGATGCAATAGAGGATTGCACTTCGCGGAAAACCACTATGGATTTTAATGAAGACAAGGACCACTTTATTATCTGCTTCACTTTTAGGTTTATGAGCTTTGAATAATCTTCTAATAATATCATGGTGAGGAATTGTAAATAACTCTTGTTCTCTTCAGGCATGTATATATTTCAGAAGAAAAGTTTAGTGCTTGTATTTTATATTGGGAATTTGAGACAGATTTTATTGATGCTGTGGCCCTTAAAAACAAATTTAAAGTTCTGGTATTAATTTCTAAAGCCCCATATAGTTCAAGATTGCAATATGTGGTGGAATATTTTTTTCTATTCCTGCCCATAATCTGAGATCATTTTTGGAAGCCTTATTTCAGGTGCGTTCTCAGGATTAAGGTATGGAAAATGGCATGTGCCAATTTTGAATGGATATTCTTTTTTATTGCCATTTTTATTACATTATAAGTTCAATGTCATTCTTTAATTACTATGTTTAATATTTTAATTATTTAGAATGTTATTTGGTCATTTTAATCTATTACAAGCTGGCCTGGAAAATCCTGGCAGTTTACACATTTTTGAAAATAGTAAGTGTTCAATAAATAGTCTTAACTATAGAATATTCTTTTTAAAAATAATATTTTAAAAATATTCTTTTAATGATACTGCTTAAATATAACAAGTTGAGGCAACCTCGCCATAAGAGGAATTTCTCCCATTTTTACAAATGACCCTGACTTTTTTCCTTGGTTTTTAATTTTTATCTTTCCTTTTCCATCTGAGAGAACAAATATTGTTTATGAGTAGAAATCTTGTGCAGTGTAATTGTCAGTGACTTACCTTAGGGCACTGCACAGTACAGTCCTCTGGTCTAGGCTGAAAAAAAACCCCAAAAATAAAAAGGTGAATGTTAAGATAACGACAATGCAAACATTTACATGTTAGAGGTTTGGCTTTAGACTCAGGTCATGGGCTAAGTAATATTGTATTTTGGAGTTCATGGAAATATAGGAGATTTGGATTTGGGGTGGGGGAAATACCACATATCTCTTGCTGAACTCTTTAAGGGCTCCAACACAAAACAGGCACATCTACCAAATCCATTTCCTTTCTCTCACACATGGATCAGGAGGACTAGGGGAAAAAGAAAGAAACCAAAACCTTTCTCTGCACAGCTCCCTTTAACAAAGTTCCTATTACTGTAGATAGCAAGAAAACTTATCAAGTAAGGCAGATACGGAGGGGAGAACAGGCTTTAATCCTGTCTCCACCGCTTCTCATGCCCCTGGTGGAGACTGACTCTGAGGGAGAGGAGGAACAGCTCACAGGGAGTGGAAGTGTGGCTCCGGAGGTTGTGGAGGAGGCTGGGGAAGGGCAGAGGCTGGCTGGGCAGTCAGAGGAGGACCCAGGCCCATCCCCTCTCCATCCTAGGACATGTAGGGAGGAGAGGATAAGGGAGAGACGTGGTCTACTAGGGAGGAGAGGGCCTTGATCCTCTTCCTGGGCTGCAGCTGTGACAACTGGATAAGAGGATGGACATGTGTACTGGTGAGTGCTGGAAATAAAGCGTGGAAGTATCTCTAGTTTATTGTTCCTTTCTGAGTTTGGCGCCCTTCCCAATGTGTGTTCTGATATCTCTGGACATCTTCAAGCCCTTATCTTGCCTGGTTTGTGTTGTTTTTTTACTCTTTATAATTTAAACGGCATTTCCTCCTTCTTGTAACTGCTTGTGTGGGAGTTGTTTGTCTCCAGTCAAGGATATTTGGAGCGTGGAAACAAAGTGAAGGAATAAAAGGGGCTTCTCCTGTTTTTTTGTGACTGTGTTTATTTCGTATCCCATCCTGGGTCATCACACCGCCACCCTGACTACTGTGGTCGCTTTTTAAATGGAGACCAATCCCTACTAATCTGAAGATGACCGATCAGATGAGTGGACTGAAGTGGTCAGTAAGTCTTGATAAGTGGCCTTGATAAGTCACCTGTCTAGTGCAATTGTGAAGAGGTGAAGAGAAAGTTGCTTTATCAGAAATTACAGGGAGCAGGACAGTGGTAAAGTCCTTTTTACACTTTGGTAGGACATGATATGCACCAGGGGTGTCAAACTAAGACCCGGGGGCTGGATCCTGCCCATGGGGCTGCCCTGGAAACAGCGAAAGACTTGCCCAAGTGTGGCCCTCCTGAGCTGTTTTCACTAGCAGAGGGTTGCAGGAGGCTGTAGCAGTCAAAAACAAAGCTCGGGAGCCTGTTTTCTCTGGCAGAGCACTCAGGCCACCACAAGTGCCCCTGACATGAGTGACGTCGAACTGGTCATGCCCACTCTGGCCCTACGAGGTCAAACGCAACCCTGAAATTGAGTTTGATGCCCCTGATATGCACAGTAAGTGGATCAAAGGTAAAGCTTATTATACAAAGCAGGAATTCCACCTGTTGCATATCTATTTGCATCCTGCAGAAGAAATTATGGACATGATGCAAATCATAGAAAGCCATTGTGCTTTTCTCCTTCAACATTTCTTCTACAGCATGATTGCTACCTGAATGCCAGAGGCCAGTGTTTTTCCATACTGATTGTCTCATTTACCTCCTTCACCTCTGGATCCATTGCTAGGAAAACTGCAGCCAATCCCTCCCCTGCTGCCATGAGCAGTGCCTTACCCCGATGGATGGTCCGCAGAGGGCACTGGCAAGCCCCACTTCCGCCTCTGACAGACTGTTTGAGTCTCGCACAAAGAAAACGTTACGTGATTCTTCACTGGTCACAAGGCGACGCAGTTGCTCACGATCGGCTCCTTCCATCCCCACTGCTAGAATCTGGATTCCTGCAAGGTCCACAAAAGGGAAACTTAGAAGAGATCCTCCATGTTAATTATTCATTGGAGATCGTGTAGTCCAGGTGAAGAAGTTAAGGACACAAGTAGCTCAGCTGATTTTTCTAAAGGTAAATTTCAGCCAGGGCTACCCAAATTGTATCAAAGCAACTTAAAGATACCCGAGGGGGGAGGGAATCCCATTTCTTCAGCCCAGTCAAATGACAGACTGTTCGGTTAGAACTCAAAATTGCTTTTTCAAAAAGACAACTGAATAATTAATCAAAGCTGAAAAGCGAAATGTCATCAAGGAAAAACCAGAAAGTCCAGTTGCCTCTTGAAAAAGCACCTTTGGGACAACCAGGATCTGGATGACTGTGAATCTCTGTAATCACTCATGCCTTTGTCACCTCCCAATTGGACTATGCAATGCATTCTATAAGGGGCTTCTCTTAAAGAGCATCTGGAAACTATAGGAAGATTCTTATTAGGGAGCAGCAGCTACAACAAAGGCTTTTCTTATGTTTGCTACATTCCAGACATGAAGGACAGGTGACTTACCAGCAGCTTTGATTTCCCTGGCCGGCCCAGTGGCATCATCACTGGATGACCCATCTGCCAATATCACCAAGGTTCCTGGAACGCCAGGTCTTCGCCCTGCAGTGGGGCTCAGCATGTAGCTCTTCACAAAATTAATGGCTGCTCCTTCATAGAAAAAGTAACAACAGATATGCATCCAGAGAAACACACACCTTAGTAAGAGCACTAGTGATACATTGCTCACTTCAAGTTTTCATTAGCAATTCCTGTGAATATTGGGATCATGGTCACAGGTAGAATTTCAGAAGAAACAGGATTGCTTCTTTCTCTTCCTGCTGAGTTCTTTGAACAAGGAACTAACAACACCCCACCCCCTCTTTTCCTTGACTCAAAGGAACGGGCGACTCCTTACCAATGGCATTGCCACTACGCTCCTCATAGCGCAGTGAGCGAATGTGCTGCAGGACAGTTGCTAAATCATTGGAACGATTAAGCAGGAATAAAGGGAGGCCTCGGTAGCTGTACATCGCAATGCCCACCTGGAGTAGGCAGAAAAGAGAAAAGAAATGTGATAAAAGCAGAATATAAAGATGAAAAAGCATGCAGTCAAATTCCCCATCTTAGGAGCAGAGGGAAACCAGGAGTGATATTCATTTACTTCTCAGCCTTCTAAAATAGGCAGGATTAGGAAACAAGAGTTGCTAGTAGCCCTGGAATGTATTCTGATGCAATTAGGCTACTGGAACAAAAATGTGAAAGCCCACCAAACCCCCAATCTACTTCAAGTTATACTATTACAATGAAGGTGGTGCTGTTTTGAGTTTCTTTCTCAAGCTTACTACCTTCCCAGAACTCAAGTATCTTTTCTATAATTGCTCAGTATTCTTCTCTCCTTTCCCTCTGAGTCCCAGCACTTCATCCCACCTGTCATATCCCTGCAGGGTTTTGATTCACAGCTATTTGGATGGCCAAATAAAACACCACCACATGGAGTTACAGAATACATCTTTATCAAATTGTATCTTTTGTCACCTTACTGACAAACTATAGATTTGCAATGATAGAACGAAAATCAACAAGGTTATAACTGGGTTCGCTTCACCCAATTAAAATAACCCCCAATGTCTTTGTGCATGTGAATCAAACAAGCAGGGAGCACTGCAAAATCTTGATGATGTAGGTTACCCGGGTAGTTTCACGGCCTGGACGAAGAGTGGATATAATGTTGGAAAGGAAGCTCTGCACAGCCTCTGCATTGTAGGCTTTGTCTCGAGTTGTATGTATAAGAAAAATGACATCACGCTGGGCATCTGGACAGACTGCAGAGTGAAATGTTTCAGAAAGAATCAGAATGGCATCCAATGGTTTGGGGATATAAGCAAAAGGTCTGATTTTCCCTTCCTGCACCCCCATTTGCAAATAATAACTGAAGAGATTTATAACTCCCTGTGTAGCTGCTTGTAATTCTCAACTGGAACCTTTGCAAATCAATTATATATTATTTTTAAATATTGCAATATCTTAAAACATGTTTTCCAAATGGCTTGCTGTATGAATCTGAAAGGTGAAAAAGATATTTTTTCAAAATACATTTTAAACCCTTTTTTTACCCTTCAAAAAGACCTTTTTTTACCCTTCAAAAAGACCTTTTTTTACCCTTCAAAAAGGAAATCCAAAATGTAAGGTCTAAAATAGGGTCATCATTAAAAACAAACACTCCAGGACTCCCTCTCAAAAATAGGACTTTGTCCTTCTCTCTAACCAAATATTAAGTGAAGCCATTGCCATCAAAATAATTGACGAGCTTCTTGCAAGCAAGAGGCTCTAGGGAGCTATTGGTGTCCATGGTAAACTACAGTGATGCCAAAATGACAGCATGCTGTGATGACATTCAACAAATATTATTATTTACTTGCAGTTGAGCTTCTGATATAAGTATGTAATTTATAGCACCTGGTTGATCACAGATGCTTTGTTATTTGTCCTCTTGAATGGATACCCGGGTAAAGACATCCCTCCATAAACCTCACCTGTCTGGGCAGAAATAGAAACCTCAGCACCGGAGATACTCCCAAACAGTGGGCGAATCATAAAGGTGTATTGCTCCCCCAGATGCAACCCAGACACTTGATGGGATGTTTCTGATGCAGGCAATGTTCTTTGTGCCTCTCCTCCCTCTGAAACGCAGGAGAAACATGACAGAGGATTAACACAGCTGGCAGGGCTAATAATGCAGATAGTGTGTCTCACAATATATTGGCTGGTATGCTCGTTAATTGGTCACAATACTGCTATATTACACTGCTGCTGTGGGAGTCTCCATTCTCATGGTCTTTTGGAAGCTGGTAAAAATCTGACACTTCTGGGGATTGATTGTGGAGTCATTAGTACCAGGGATTTTTGTATGATTCATTAATATCCTTTTAGTTTTAGTATTAATATCTGCAAACTAGAGTCTGAATGGATTGAGGAAGTGGAATAAACTATATAAATGAAGAAATCCAGTATTTTATTTGATACGTGATTATATCACGTAAGATTAAGAGCAGTGGTGGCACAGTGGTTAGAATGCAGTACTGCAGGCTACTTCTGTTGACTGCCAGTTACCAGCAGTTTGGCAGTTTGAATGTCACCAGGGTCAAGGTTGACTCAGCCTTCCATCCTTCCAAGGTCAGTAAAATGAGGACCCAGATTGTTGAGGGCAATATGCTGACTCTGTAAAACCACTTAGAGAGGACTGTAAAGCACCGTGAAGCGGTATATAAGTCTAAATGCTATTGCTATTGCTATATCTAAGCATGGGATATGATCTTTTCCCTCATAACAACAATCCTTAAAGGTAGATTAGGCTGACAAAGAGTGACATGTATAAAGTCACCTTGCAAGCTTCCATTATTGAGTGCAAACTAAAACCTAGATTTCCCCATTCCTAGCACAATACTTTGACCACTACTCCACAAAACTTTGTGAAGGAAAATCAGAGCTCCTTGATGTGAACTCCTGGAAGAAAGGTGTGGTGTACATCAAATACAGGACCAACCTCTTGGAGATTTCCATGTGAGATGATAGCCAGAAGCCCCAGGAACTGGAGTCCAGGATAACGTTATAGAATCCTTTTCAGTATCTGACACCTGGAAATTGGTCACCCGGCCCACAGCTGCTGAAAAAATAAAGATAAATATGAGACAGGTAGTTTGGTCCTTGATAGTGAAAGAAAAATCTAGAGAAGTTCTTAACAGCAATTCACACTGATGAGCACAGAGAGTAGACATCACACTTGTGATCTATTGTAGCACTACGGTAGTTCCTATCACAGTTAGGACTGGTATGTACAAGTGGAATACTATTTTCATCACAGGAAATGGCCTTCCTTAACAATGGAAATTTTGGTCCCAATTAAGTAAATCACATGGTTTTTAAACAAATCTACCTTTCCCTATTGACTTTGTTTACAGGAAGCTGGCTGGGAAATGGTGTCCGCATGACTCAGAATACTAAAACCATCTTAAATGCATGCTAGTTGCCAAGCACCCAAATTTTGATCACATAACTGTAGGGGATGCTACAATGCCTTATAGATCTCTTAGCTATGACAACTTGTTATAAGCCAGTTTTTTCAGTGCCATTGTAACTTTGAAATATCACTAAACGAATGGTTGCAAATTGAGGACTGCCTGCTCTGCTTCAGCTGCTTCTTTGGCCCTTCAGAGGTCTTTTGTGCACACAGTGCCGAAGTCACTTATTTGGAAGCAGACTGGCTTGTCTTGATGCTTGTGAGGCTGAGTACATCCCTGCCAATGTTTTAAGCTTAAATGAAAGTTCATACTGTTTCTGATGCTTAAAGCAGATTGCTGAGATGGAGCGCATAAGCATTTTACAGATCAGGTATTTATATACCAGAGATGAATAGTAAAATACAACTATATGGAGAACTAGTGTTATCATCTGTGACACATTGACTGTGACACGGAGAAAAGCAGTACTGTACATAAAAACCAAAGCAATAAAATAGAGATAATTTACACTGTTATAGTTGGAAAAAAATGTCCACAGTTGAAACTCTGCTTTGTAAACTACATTCTTATATGGTTTATCTGTTTCTTGAACATATCTTCTTATATGCTCTATAGACAAGTGTGGAAGAAACAGCCTAATAGAAACATTCTGGTATAGCACCCTTATCTGAGAGTTTTCCTTCTAAATTAATATCTAGAAAAGCTACTTATGCTTTTATTTATGCTTCACTTCAGTTTTAGGTGATACATTTTGCTTTGTGTGATGTTTACATTTTTTTTAAAAAAGCAAAATTTAAAAACCGTTTTTTAAAATTGTTTTAAAAGGGTGGGTTATTTTAGTTTTAAGATTAAAACTGGAGCTGCAACAGCCAATGGAATTACATATTATGAAAGATGAAAGATCCAAGTATCTATTGATCTTTGGCAATATTACAGAAGACCCTTACAATTACATACCAAATAAAAATATAATTTATCTAACCTGCATGAAAGAACAACAAAAATCTAAAACATGCCTCTTAGCTACAAGAAAACACAACAATGCTTTCCCCAGAAGTATCTCTCAGGGACCAACAGGAATCATTGATGAAAACCAGTAAATCAGACAGGATTGGCTTATCTCTGTCTAGTCTCTAATTCTTCTTACATATGAAATTTACATTCCATATCTAACTAGAGGCTACTCTAGCAATTTTTGTGCCGTAGACTTCTATCTCTGGATAGCAGAGAGTTGGGTTACCAGTGGTGCCAACAATGGCCACAGCTTCGCTCTCCCGGTTGCCAGTCAGACTTGTGATGCGGATGTCATAGCGCCCTCCTGGCTGCAGATCTTCAATGACATAGGTGTTAATTTGGGCTGGCAACAGCTGACTCCTCTCAGGCCCACCTGTCCCATGTAAGAGAGCTAGTTAATTTCTTGGATAGTGGGTGGCAATCATAGAGGAGGTAGATACATATAGGAAAATATATATAGGAAGGTATATATAGGAAGTGTTGATCACCTGCAGGGCGCCAGGTGAGCCGATAGCCCGTGCTCCCCCGCGCTGGGCTCCATTCTAGTTGAATATGGGTTTGTGAGGAGTCAGTCACACGCAGGTTTCCAACTGGTTGAACTGGGATTGCCGCTAAAAGGAAACATATGAGGAATAACAATGGAAAAGAAGCAAGGAAGTCTGATCTTTAACAAAGAGAAAAAGATACTCCAGAAAGAATTAACCCTCTTATGAATCATAGATAAGATTTATGTATTTGATATGAGATTAAAATAAACTTTCACTTTCACTTTAGGTATGAGATAAAACATTTTTTTTCACTTTTACTTCAGGTGATACATAGCTGTATCCTTCATGAATAATCATGGAAATATTGTCTTCTTGAATGGCATCAATAATAACATCTGAATAACCAATTATGTGATGCGATCATGTATCTTCAAATATCTGGAAAATATTTTCAGAAAATAAATTCTTTCTTTAGAACAATTTCTACGAGGTTCTTTGATTCTGAGGATATCTTTACAGAAAATACAATGATCAATTAGAGGGAGGATTTGATTTTCAGAATCTGGAGCTATATTTGTCAAATATTAAATACTGGAAGCCAAACAATTGGTGTTCATTTTCCAATTTGGGCAAGTTTGGAATGTCTGCCTGCCTGCCTGCCTGCCTGCCTGCCTGCCTGCCTGCCTGCCTGCCTATCTATCTATCTATCTATCTATCTATCTATCTATCTATCTATCTATCTATCTATCTATCTATCTCAACTTGGGTTAAATGGATAGTGTTAGGATCTAAACACATTAAAACTCTAATATGCCTGGAAACAATTAGGTCAGTTGAAAAGTTATGGAATGTCCAATAAAAAAGATTTGACCTTTTCCCATGCTAAATTGACATTATGGGGAAACTGAACTTTAAAAATTGGGGAAAAGCTGGAGATATGAAAAAAAATGGATGAAAGCTAAGATACTGGCTTTGAAACAACTGATAGAGGAAAATGAATTTTTAATGTATGCTGTGTTAAGAGATAAATAAATTAAAACATTCCAGAGGCAGAACCTCCTTTATTCATAGTTTGTGCAACTTCTCTAAGGATGACAAGTGCAGGAACAATACAATGTCAAGTGTTAAACACCAGTAGAAAGTGCCACATAATTTCCCTCCAAGTCTTAGCAAAGAAACCAAAGCATAATATGACTAAAATTCCATCTACAACTTCAAAAAGCAGATTAGTAAGAAACTGACACACAAATATGGACAAATAAGTCTTACGTGTTGTGACAGTAATAGACACGGGATTTCCTTCACGATTCCCAATCAGTGCTGTGACTTTTACAGTGTAGCTGACTCCTCCTTCCAGGCTTTCTAAGTCAAAGGAATTAACATTTCCCAAGACCAGTTTGCTGCTCTCAGGTCCACCTTTAAAAGAAGAGAATGTGACCTCGCTAGTGAAAAAAGACAACCAAAGGCATTAAAAGTTATTGCAACCCACACTAATAAGTATAAAGCTTGATCACAGCAACAAGAAGTCTCTCTTTTCTTTAATTCTACATTTTCTTTCACCAAATAAGAAAAACTTCAGCTTCAAAAATCATCTGTGTTTTTGATTTATGATTGCTTTGTTTTTCCACTCCTAGAACTAAGATGCGCAAATTAAGACTGCGCTGTAATAGGCATTCAGAATGTGTGTGTGTGTGTGTGTGTGTGTGTGTGTGTGTGTGTGTATTCAGGTTGCTTTTAACATTCATAGGGATTTTTTAAAAAAAATACTTAGATCTTCATTTCCTTAATAAAGCTGTGATGTCAATTATTAGCTGTTCAAATCCATGGCTTGTACTGTAATTTCCCTTCTGCTAACATTTCTAAATCCAATTGCAAACTTGTGATAAAGTAGTAATTGTTTCATTGTAAAATATAAAATAATTATAATTAAGTAATATGTAATAATTAACTCATTGTAATAATGAATTAATGTATATTAAAAGTATGTGTTTGCAAGATTTGTTTAAAAAAGTTGCTTGAGCATTCCCTGCTTCCATTCCCAAATCTATTTTAGAACATTTTAACTACCTCACTTGTTCCATCAGTTTGCCAATAATATAACAGGCTGCACCAATGGATAACCTCTCCCAATGGCTATAAGTGGTTATGAAAATAAGGGCACTCTACAGGTCAACAGCAAACAAACATTTTCTTCAAGAGGCCCACAACTCCTCACAATTATTGTGAGGAAACCAGAAGCAGAAGATCAATAAACTTCGGCAGCTTCCTTACCGCTAAGCTGGCTCCACACCACTCGATATGCTGTAGCACCTGGGACACCAACCCAAGAGATGCGTACCACATTTCCCCTGGACTCAAGGACTCTGAGGCTGGTGACTGTTCCCACTGGCTCAAAGCCTTCAAGGCAAAACAAAAAATAATGATTGGTAATAGGATTCTCAAGGTGTAGCAAAAAGGGCAGAAAGATATGCATTATCTCATCTGCAACTACAACTGGTCTCACCTGTTGTAACTGTGGTGGTAGCTGATCTCCCTTCTCGGCTGCCAACTAAGGCTGAAACCTCAATGAAATAGACAGTTCCAGGCCTCAGACCATCAATGGTGTAGGCGTTTATATCAGCTGGTAGGACTCGAGAGATCTCTTGACCTGGAGAGGGAAAGGGTGTATTCAAGATGGAGGCAACAGATTACTCACACAAGGAAGAAAACAGTGGATTCTTACATCTTAAAACCACCAGAGTACAAATCAGCCAATATATGCTTCTAGGCTAATAAACAATCTGGAACTCAATCACCCTTTTGCATTTTTTACTGTCATTCTTTGATCAGAATTTGTACTCACAAAAATAAATATCCTGGAGAAAATGTGTACTAAAATCCCTTGATTAGCAGAAATTACAGCAAACATTGTTTTACATATGCTGGCATATGTTGCCTTGGGTTTCTGAAGAATAGGTGGAATATAACAAATAAAATAAATAATATGTATACCGTACTAACCCATTTCTTCCTTTATTTGAGTTTGTAGGAATACAAAAACATGTTTGTTGCAGAAATGAAAATGTCTGCAACATGCTTGTTTCTGGAAGATTTACTGAAATGTTTGCCAAGAACAAACTTGTATTTCAAAAATTCAAAAGTTGTGGGAGTCCAGTTTGAGCTTCTTCGGCGACAGACCGAAATCTGTGATCGTGCGCAGTTTCGATCTGTGCTCACTGCTGGAGCGCACCGGCTGATTTCGGGGCTAAGCCACCCCGTAGAGGTGGTGAAGAGGAGGGAGACTGCCAGCAGGGTCGAGGAGAGTCGCATCTCTCCTCTCCAGCTGGCCATTACTCCCTTTCCCGGTTGCAGCGGTGGTCAGAAATGGCCACCTCAAAGAAGAACTCGACTGGAAAAGAATGTGCAGGAGGAAGATAAGAAGAGAAAGTTTTGGCTGACCAGGTTGAACTGAAAAACAACAACACAAGGTACCCTGGAATTTGAATTATAAAGTACCCTGGAATTTGAATTGTTCGCAAAGAAGACTTTGAAGCGGCGAATGAGAGAGGGAAGGGAAAGGATTTGGTTTTTTTTTCTTTTCTTCCCTATATTGACAACTAAGAGATTTAAGCAAGAAACCTGCAAAAATCTATTTTGACATTAACAGGTATTTAAGATGAAAATAAAATGTCAAGGGGATAATAAAGATTTCTGGATTCTCAAAAACTTTTAAAAGAAGGAAAAAAACAAAAGGGTGGGATCTGGAAAAGATCTGGAGACCACCTGGAAGTGAAAGGAATTAACAGTGAAACTTTAACAAGATTCCTAAAAGATACATTTTAACTGAAACTTTGTAACAAGATAAGAGAACCCCAGGAAGAGAAAGTGGAAAAAAGAAGCAAGAAGTAATAGCTTTGGATTATTTGGATTACTTGGTGATTTTTGGATTTTTGGCTATCGGATCTAAAGGACTAAAATTTTTATTTTCTGTTGTTTAAAAGTTTTTAAAATGGTATCACTCTTGGAAGAATTGAGAATGGAACTTAAAAAACAGAAAGAAGATGCACAAGAAGGAAGAGGTTCTTTTGGCTTCATATTTCAATGTTTAGAAATGGAGATCTTGAACTATGAGAAACAACAAGAAATGCCTGTAGAACAAAAAGGGAGGGACAAAGAAGAAGCCATCTTCAATGACTAAGTATTTCTATGTGGGGAAAAGAAAGGAAAGAGAGTGAAAAATTTAAGATCTGAAAAAACAACCCAAAAAAGAATAGTTTGAAAAGTAATTATAACATTAGGAAGAAACAGAAGAGAGGATTACAGAAGAGAGAATCAGAATTAGAGAGAGAAGGGGTCAAAAAGGGAAGGGAGAAGAAGAGGGAGAAGAGGGAAAGGAAAAGAAATTATAAAGGACAGAAACAGGACATAGAGAAACAGGGAAAACGTACAAGACACAGAGATAATGGGTGAAAACTTAATTGAAAGGGGGATTCTGCAAGGGTACATAAGATAGTATTGTTATATTAGAAATAGAAATGAACTTTGAAAATATGAAACAAGTGTGATTAAAATGATAGATAAAATACTCATTGTAATGGAATGGAATGTTTAACAAATAAATGAAATAAAGAGAATGAGAGAATGAAATTAGGAAAGGAGGGGAACATTTTAATTATTATAAATGTGTTATAAAAATTTAAGTGAAGAGGAATATGAAAGAAACATGAAAAAATTATGGAAATATTATAAGTGTTCCTAGAAGTATGATATCCTATTGAAAAGAAATGTTAAAGATGTCAAAGATTATAACTAACATTAATGATAGAGCTGAATTGGAATAGAATAAGTATTTTATTTATTATTGTTATATATATATTTTCTCTTTAAGAACTTAGTGCATATTTTAAGAATGTACCAAGCAGAATTCGACTGGAAGTTATGTGTTATATTGAATGTTGTAATTGTAAAGGCATAAATTGAAGTTTAAATAAGAGTTGAATGGATAAAAATTAAAAGATACAAAGGTGTCATACTCCAATTAGTAACTACAGGGGAAAATTTTGTTTAATGAGAAAAGAAAATATGAAATTGAAAGGGGACAGACAAAAGTATAAATATAATGACTAGAAAGGTATTGAAACTTAGAAAAAGATATATATAATTGAATTTAGAAAGGAATGAGATCATTAAAAGTAAGATTGAGAAAATTAAGGGAAGGGAAAAATTATTGAGAAAATGTTAAAATAGTAATAAGATATGGAATAGAACACAAAGATGAATATGAAATTGAATTTGTGTCTGTATGGAGAAGTGATAACCCAGGACCATGCTATTCTCAAAAAAAGAAATTTTACTTGTATTATGTTTTGTGAAAACCCAAATAAATTTTTTATTAAAAACAAAATTCAAAAGTTGGAAAACTCAAATCTGGCAACTAAAAAACCAGGATTTTCAGTAATATCTACATGCTACAAAAACATTCTATGGCAGGCTAAATGTAAATAATTATATTTGCAATATAATGCAATATAAATTTGGCAAGATGCAAATTTCATGGATGAAGCATTTCATTGTACAAAAAAAAGAGTTCCATGTACATATAAGGGGAAACAAGGAGGGGAATGCTGTTGTCTTAAGAAATACCAACAAAAAAGCAGAATGGAAAGGAAAAAGAATCAGCACATGGCCAGCAATAGAGTGATAGATAACGTATTACATAACACATTCCTTGATCTGAGAGATAAAATCACAGCTAATACACCCAGTCTCCAGAGTTTCCTGTTAGCTAATTAATTTTATTCCTGACAGATTCAATAATGAAAATCAGATCACAAGAAGATACAAAACACAGATGCCTAACTTTTAATTTCTTTTCTGCTATCATACACAACAGGAAATCAATATTAGAAGATTTTGTTAATGAGAATCAATGTTCTGTGATTGTTTTTATTAGTACATTAACTTCATTTTCAAAATGTCAACTGAAAATGAAATATTAACTACTTTATCTGATACAAACATATCAATGGGGGTGGTATTCAGCAGGTTCTGACCAGTTCTGGAGAACCGGTAGCAGAAATTTTGAGCAGTTCGGAGAACCAGCAAATACCACCTCTGAATGGAGATATTACAGTATTCTTCCCCTGCCACATCCACCAAGCCACGCCCACAGAACTGGTAGTAAAAAAATGTGAATCCCACCACTGCATATCAACTAGGTAGATTATCAAAATACAAAGTCATTTCTTCATTGGCAATTACAATAAAGACGAGAAGGCATGGAAGGAATATTCTTTTTCATATTCAGGATATAAACTACCATATTGTACTTCAATGGAACATGTACAATTCAAGACTACAGTACTAAAATAGCAAGGCTGTTGCCTCTTTATAATAAAATGTATTTCACAGATTGCTAGAGGATAACTAACCTTTGAGGACAAAATATCCAATTTAATTTTTCTGTCTGAACCTTTGTTGCATTTTATAATCCCCCAATTTATTCAGAACTGACAGAGAGATAAAGCAAAAATTATCTATGTATCATCTCAATTTCTTGGATGCAATTTCTCAGGGTGTGGAGAAGAAGGATGAAGGGACTGATGAAATATTTCAATTTGAAATCTTCTAAGAAACAATGAGAAAATGTCAAAATATGCCATCCACTGTGCAAGAAGGAGAAACAGATATTTTGGCATTCAGAAAAGTAGCAAGCTGAAATTGAGCTGGCCTTCTCTAATAGGAGTGTAAGTTTCTCCAAGAAAAGTGTTATTATTTTCTTGTAATTATTCATATTAAAGTAAAATATATATTTAATCTTATGTATATTAAGGCTATGTAGTATCTGGAATTTGAAACAGAAAAAATGCTTTGGAGCATATAGCACCTATTAAAGATAAAGGTAAAGATTCCCCTCACACATACGTGCGAGTCGTTTCCAGCTCTAGGGGGCAGTGCTCATCTCTGTTACAAAACTGAAGAGCCAGCATGTCGAAAACATCTCCGTGGTCATGTGGCCGGCATGACTAAATGCCAAAGGCACACGGAATGCTGTTACCTTCCCACCAAAGTGGTCCCTATTTTTCTATTTGCATTTTAACATGCTTTTGAACTACTAGGTTGCAGAAGCTGGAACAAGTAACTGGAGCTCACTCCATTACACGGTGCTAGGGATTCGAACCGCCAAACTGTCGACCTTTCTGATCAACAAGCTCAGCGTCTAACCAGCTGTGCCACCTGTGGAAAATTGTGACAATTAAAAAGATATGAAAATTTTGAGGGTTAAGGTTTTAGTTAAAAATATGAGTTGAGTTGGCTTATCTTCAGAGGGGTTTATACACAATATTAATATGTGTGTATGTGTATAAAATCTGTTATATAATTAAAATTTTCTCAAAGGGGAAAGTCACTAATCCTGTTTTAACATGTTTTGCAACGGAACAACAATTCAGTCTGTGCTTATGAATGCTTAGAAATATTTTAATGTTAAGCACCTTTTGCTTAGAAGTGACAACTAACTGCCTAAATAGTTCTGAACTGCAAAGAGATTAGCTTGCTCAGAGACACAAATAAACTCTAGCATTTTATCAGATTACTAGTGTTTCCTCTTCGAAAATTATTTGGTTTTGCAAAGTTTTAAAAGCTTATTGGCTTAATCTTTTGAGTCCACTGACTTGCCTCAATGGCAACTGATCTGTTTTGTTGTTGTTGTTGTTGTTGTTGTTGTTGTTTTAACAGGAAGCCAAAAAAAGAAAAAACCCAAGTAGAATATTTTTTAGTCCATAGGCAAGTATTAAATTCTGCCCAGATGCAAAATTAATCTGAAGGGAATTCTCACTTACAGAAGTGCAGCTTATGCCCCAAGGTAACCACTGGGGGGGGGGGCATCCAACTTTCACAAGGATCCAGTAGGAAGTTTAAGTTTCAGGGCCAAGCTTGACTGGGTTTTAGGAATATTTTAATTTGCTTCAAAGTCACATGGTTTAATAAATTGATATTTATTAAAAACAACTCTGTAGCATTAGAATATGCTTTCAGAGAAGGCCTTTCTCATCAAGATGGTCCTGTCTCATTCATGGAATGAAATGAAATGAAGATAAGGACATCTTCTATTTGTTACTTTTCAGTGTTTTATCTCAATTTCTTCCATACTTTTTTCTTTCCAAGGAAAAGCCACTAAGGAAGAAAAGCTGGAACAGCAGCACTAATGTTAGGAAAAAAGATGGTAAAAAGCTCTCCAATAGGAAGCATCCAAAATATCTCTGGATTTGCATTTTGTTTTCTTCCATCCCTGTATTGCCTTGACATCATGCTACCACCACCCTTCAATACTCAAGCAGAATAAAATCCAAATATGTACAATTCAGCAGTTAGAATGCCTTATTTTATGACTTGTCAAAACTCACCCTCTCTCAATCGCCATTTCACTTTATAGCCTGTGGCTCCAGGAACCCGATTCCAGGTAACACGCAACTGATTGGGCCCAGATGGAGCTGCCTCTAAGTTGCTGATGCTACCTACAGACGGAGCTTCTACAAGATCAAGCATAGAGAAGAAGGAATGAGTATAAACCGGGGGTCTTCAAACTTGACAGCTTTAAGACTTGTGGACTTCAACTCCCAGAATTCCTCCTTCAGTCATGTTACTCAGGAATTCTGGGAGTTGAAGTCCACAAGTCTTAAGCTTGACAAGTTTGAAGACCCTTGGTATAACCATTGAAAAACAACAAATGGTTATTATTTGATATGTATTATTTCACATATAGTATTTAGAGTTGTTCTTCCTGTTCTTTGTGAACATTTCCTCAAGGACCTGTGCAACCAACTTGTCAGAGAATGAGGCATTCTTTTCAGCCCTTGGTGGGGAGCTAGGGTTGAAGCATCCTACTTTATCTAAAGTCCTCAGCTATGTTTATCTGCTTCTCCCATCCTGATCTTTCTGCAGAACAAGGATAGAATAAGTGCCAAAGACTCGTAGTTCACAATTCTATGTTTTTAATGAGAAGCCCAGAATTGCACAGTTGAAGCAACCTAAGTTTTAAAAGACATTAGAAGGAGCATGTTCCTGCCTTGTTACTGCTGCATCAAATCAAGATTTACTGCTAGGCCTTTACCTGTCATAATGACTGTGCTGTATTGAAGAGGTTAAAAAAAAAGTCACAATACAGTTGACAAGAGAAGGAGGCACCTCTGGCTTCAAAAGAGAACGTACCAACTTGAAAAGTAAGGGTGGCAGGAATGCTTTCTTGGGTGCCCAACTGTGTTGTTATTTGTACTAAGTATGTGACGCCCTCCTTCAAATCTTGCAATTCAAAGAAACTCTGGTCTCCAGGGATTCTTCTTGTTTCCTCCGATCGATCTGAAACAAGATGCAAAGGAAGCAAAATCAGCCTGTGGTAATAAGGGAAGCTATAGTAAGCACCGTAACCCCATCTCTCCGTCTAAGTTGGACAAAAACATTATTTTTCAACACTGGGTCATATACTCATCTTCAGATCTTTCACATCAGGGGTCCCCAACCACCGGTCCGCGGACCGGTACCGGTCCGTGGAACAAGTCCTACTGGGCCGCTGGTTTGCTGGGCGCCGCCATCTTGTTTTGATGAAAAAGTGCTTCCGGTGAGCTTT